CACTAATGACACCACCACTCACTCCAATAATATTAGACAAACAGGCTATCAGCGGGATAACTGGTTCGATATCATTAGCATGCTGGATTATAGTCTTTGCTCCTCAGATCTATGAGAACTTTACTAGAAAATCATCGGAGGGGTTATCTCTAACATTCATTATCTTGTGGCTTGCAGGAGATGTGTTTAACGTACTAGGAGCAGTCATGCAGGGTCTACTACCAACAATGATTATACTAGCCGTGTACTACACCTTGGCTGATATTGTTCTACTTTGGCAATGTTTGGTATATGGTAATGGTGAAGACAACAAGGAAAAGGTTAACCCAGATTTCACGCATTTATCACCCGCAACTCCCATTAATGAGGATGTGTTGGTGTCTGCGTATTCACACAGTCAAAGCCCCCAGATTAGAGATGATACTGACAGTGTACGATCAGGCGGCAAATCATCCAAATTACAAACTGCGCTTGTCAATACTTTAATGGTTTCCTTGGTGATTATATCAGGTATAGTAGGTTGGTACATCTCCTACATCAAAGACTCGCATCGCAAACATCCTGGCGGGGGCCAACATCACCCAGAAGATCTTGTATTTGACCCATTGGCTCAAACTTTTGGCTGGCTCTGTGCCATTTTATACTTGGGATCAAGGGTGCCCCAGATTGTTTTAAACTATGAACGTAAATCCTGTGAGGGTATTTCGTTTATGTTTTTCTTGTTTGCGTGTTTGGGTAATTTGACCTATGTCATTTCCATATTATCGATCGATACAAGTTTGCATTATTTGTGGGTAAACAGTTCTTGGTTAGCTGGGTCATTGGGTACTTTGGCTTTGGATTTTACAATTTTTGTTCAGTTCTTCTTGTACAATGGAACTGAAGATGAACTATATGACAGTGAAAGTGAAATCTCTTCATCTTCAGCTGATGAGCCTTTACTTGCTACAGGTGGTAACTCGTACGGTACTACTAGGAGTTAGCAAAAATGGAAATTATGAACTTTGTGACTGGAAAAGTGATGAAATTATGAAGTATGGTAGCAAAATTGGATAGACAAGTGTATATTTATAATGAAGAAAAAAAAAAAATAGCATGCTTGCTACATTTATAATGCAAGACAATCGAAGGAACTAACACCTAACTGTAGCTAATAGATCACTATGGATAAGACAAACTCTAAACTACGCTGGATGACGATTTATCCGATTTTTTTGCGAGTCTAGCCCACCGCCGGAGTTAAGCTCCATAGATTTTTTTTTTTTCTTTTTTTTGCACCGGTAATAATATTGTTTGCAGCTTTCATAATTTTTTTTTTTTTTTTGCTTCCGGAGAACAAGAAAATAATCACAGCTGGTAGGATCTATCAACTTCGTAAATAATAGACGACAAGTAACACACACACATATATATATACACACGCCTGAATCACCTAGCCCGCAGTCATTGCTTCCATTTGTCAAGATATATCAACAAATGTCAGACACTACTTTCAATGCTGACTCAACAATGTCCAACCCCATGACCCCAGATAACGCATCAAGTGGTTCCCGGGAAGTTGAAACGCCGGGTGGGCACAACATCAAAAGAAGAAACAGACCAAGTTTAGTATGTTTTCCTTGCAGAAAGAAGAAAATAAAATGTGACAAGGGAAAGCCGTGCCTGATGTGTGTCAAGAACAACATTGCTGATCAATGTGAATATGATCAGCGATTATTAGCCAAGAAGGAAGAGAAAGCAAGAAAGCATGGCAATGAAGCCAAAGCCGCAACGAAAAAACGCAAATTGCCACCATCTGATCCCACAAGTCAAAACGAACAAGCCAAACCTCCACAACCTGCCCCTGTTGAAAAGGGATCACAGAAAACAAATGGGAACAGTCTGCCTAATGCATTGAGCGATGTTTGTGTCATCATGAGAAAGTCTGATTTAGAGGAGCTTCAATCGAAGTTGAAGCAATATGAATCGTTGAATGTTGATGCAGTAAACAATCGAAGAAAGACAGATGGGGGCCATGCTGCTCCGACGTCACCAAAGGACAACAACTTAGTTTACAATAGATCGCTCAATTCTTACAGAGGTGTAATATTCACCACACATGAGGAAACCAGACCGGGATATGTGCCTCTCACGGATATGCTGATGGACCAGTCTGATGTTTATGATATTGAGCAATCCGTCACAAGTGAAATTCACCTTGACCAAACTTGCAAACGTGAGCAATACTTGCCCGGCATCAACCCATATGACGACCCAAAAGATACAATCCCTCTTTACTCGCAAGTCTACTCTAGCAATGACGGCTCAAAAACTAGGAACTTGTATCCATTGTCATGGTCATATTCTGTCAGAAATAGCGCTTCGCTAAAGGCGCTTAGGGCTTTTTCAGCGAAACAAAAAAACAAACACGATCTTAAAAGTATAAATCTCGGAATTGCTTATGACCCAATAAAGCGATTGATGGAACCTGTAGATGAAAGGTTAAAGAGTACTTTGAACTATGACGAAAGTTCTGTGTCGCGATTTGAGGCTAGGAAAAAGGATACTGAGGATGATCAGCTAGTGAGGGAGAGATCGAAAAGCGTTTCTGTTGCACCTGGAGCAGTAAATATGTCAACCTTGGCTTTGGAGTTGAGTGTCTTGGGTGGATCAAGAGACCATGAAATGACTTTAATTGAACAAATACAAGCAGTCATTCCTACAAAGAGAGTCATGTGGTTACACATCAATCGATTCATGTACTTGCTTTACCCATTCTTCCCTTATGTTGTTGAGGATGAATTTAGAGCGGCGATTGAAAATATCATTGGCAAAGAATCGTACGAAGAGGTGAAACCAAATGTAAAAGTTCTTCATCGAGTAGACTTTGCACAAATTGGTATATTGTTCATCATGCTAAGGCTTTCTTACTTGTCCTTATTTCACAACCGAGGATTCCACAATGAGAAAATACTTTCTAACCCCATCCTCTCTCCCGAAGAAGCTGAAAAAAAGTACCTTTTGTTGAATCAAATAGAAATTGGCATGGCTGAAATTGCTCAAGCATGCTTCCGTCATTTAGAAAGGCTAAGAAAAGTGAGCATTCCAATGTTGCAGTGTGGTGTGTTTTTACGACTATACAGAATCTATGCACCTGAAGAAGGTGATGGTTTGGAAGGAGGTTACGGCCAAATTCAAAACAGTATCTTGGTTTCCATGTCGTACATGCTAGGTTTGAATAGGGAACCTGATAAAACACCCGATTTCAAAGATGATAAAGTCAAGAATTTGTACAGAAAGATCTGGTACTTTGTTGTGCTGGCAGAGTATAATTCAGCAATCTTGTTTGGATCGCCAGTACTGATCAGAAAGGAAAGCTATGATACAAAGAGACCTTTTTTCACTTGGCAGAATTCAAACCTGAGGAATAGGGAAACTGACCAAACTTCTATATTCGCTTTCATGACCACGATGATCGGGGGCCCTATTGAACAGGTTATTGCATTGTACTCCAATGTCCAGGGGAATGTGAAAGTTATGGAGTTGACGACTCATCTCAATACTATTGAAATAGGTGCCAAGAGGCTTTTCGGTAAACTAGAGGATTATTTGTATTTCCTAGAGGAGAAAGATTCAAGGTACCACATGAACAAAATCTCCAAGGCAGCAAACCTTTTAAAAGTTTACTCATTTTTGATGTTGAATTATTGTTTCTTGTTCAACTTTTACGAAAACGTAAACAATACGTTGAGCTACTTTTATTTGAAAAAAATGATGACTTTGGGAATGGGTGAAGTCTTGGTGTCTAGTTTCGCATTGATAACAAAGAGCCAAGAGCTATTTGGAGAAGGTGCAGACTTATTCATCAACCCCACTATTATCCAAATATTGACAAGGATTAGTGACATATGTATTGTGGGGATAATACGATCCAACTTTTCCCTCTATAAAGCACGTGCAAACAAGAAAAATGACAAAGAATTGAGTCATGAAGACAGGAAATTGACCGCTTCACTCAATCGTTTCATTACCCTTATGGAGAAGAGCTGCCGGGTATGCTTGATTGGAATGTCCATTTTGAGCAAAAGATATTTTTTTGCCTGGGAAGCCGTTCGAACTCAAAACTACTACTTGAAACTAGTGACGAGCTCGGCGTTTTATAAGGAGATTAATATCGAAGGTTTGGACTTTGCGCAACCAACCACGGAGAGAATCACGCTGGTGGTTGACTTGGTTGAGGCTAGCTTGAACAAGTTGGAAAAAAGCGTGGAGGATTATTGTCAAGATGTTGGCATTCAGTCATTTTTCAAAAAGACCAGTGCTGACAAGCAAATAGAGCCAAAAGATGCTAAAGAGCAATCGGTTAATGAGAGTTTTGGTCAAGCTACTGCTGGTATCGGTTTACGAAATCAGGATCACCATGTACCACTGAGCTTAAACACACCAGGTAGTGTTGATTCGACTGGGTTGTACTTTTCTGGCTTTGAGGATTTGCAATTTGACAACAGTGAGCAAATTGACTCCATTTGGTTACAAATGTTGTCCCTGAAGACTAGTAATCAAAACACGGGTATCCTACAATACAACACACTACTTCAGCAACAGCCAGGAATAGTTGGCGATGCTAGCGTAGGTGATTTTGGTTATGAAAACGTTTCTTATGACACTGTCGCCAATCCTCAAACGCAGTATGCCAATCCGTATTATGCTAATACACAAACGTCACAACCAATATCAAATACGCGAGGACAGCTGGTATCATCCGGAGCTGGCAGTTCTCAGCAACAACAACAACAACAACAACAACAAACCAACATCAATGTTCAAAACCCTGGTTTGCAAAACCAGGCTCCTCCGCCCAATATTTTCAACTACTCCGACATGTTTGATGATTTACCTTTGGACAAACTTTTCAAATAGCAGACTTAAATCTATTCACTCAGTGTCGTACGTGAGTTCAAGTATTTATTTAGCGATGAAGTTGAACTTTTAGTAATTGTGACACGGCTCACGCAATCTCGCTCTTGCCTAAATCGGAAATCTCGGGGGAATCAGTTCTCGGTTTATATGAAACACACACACACACACACACACACACCTCTCCCCTCACTGAATCTGCATGTAATGTTTCTTTCTTTTTTTTTTTGTCTCATTGAATGTTAATTAAGCTTTTCTTACAAATTTTAAATATATAATTACATATAACCATTCTATCTCCCCATCAAGGCAAGAAAAAAAAAAACATAAAAAGAGCACCGACATCACCGGATTTGCCATCGGATATCCATCTTCAACTATTACTTTAAAAAGGAAAAGAGCTTTAGCAAACATGACAACTTTAGCAGATATGCCACCTCCTTCGACAGCGGAGATAAAGGAGGAGCCGAAACAGTTGACGCAGCAGCAGCACCGCAGGAGGAAAAGACCAAGTATGGTTTGCGTGAATTGTAAAAAGAGGAAAATTAAATGTGATCGACAATTACCGTGTTCCAACTGTTTGAAAGCAAGGGGCAACATTCGATGCTCTTATGATGAAGAAGGATACAACGACTTGGCACTGCAATCTGGCCCAGGACCACAATATCAGCCATACGAGCAAAGTGCCAAACAGCCATTGCAATTTATCAACGCTGCATCTCCTAGTAGTGCGCCTAATTCATCTTCTCCAGCGAGCAGAAAGAGAAGCAACACAAGTCAAGAAGAGAATGGCACCAAAAAGTTGAAAGATTCAGACCAGCTTTCGAAATCACTACTTGAAATCAAAATGTTGAAAGAGAGATTGGAGTCAATCGAGAACAATCTCCACCGAAATGATCAGGATAATAGTAGCAGCAACAGCAATTCTCCAAGCAATTTTGCGCCAAGTAGCAACAGTTTCAAATTTCCCCAAGCTATGCCCTTTTCAGTTCCGTCACCTGTGTTGCCTCGTCCGACGGCTCAGACCCCGTTGTCTACTATTTACAACTTGTCAAACACCAGAACCCCTTCGGGGATACAGCTACCATCTTTGAGAGACCATATGCCACCACATGAGTCTCCAATGGGGAGCTCAATCACAAGCCAGCTGGCTGCGTCTATATCCACTTCCCCAAACTATGTTCCACGCGAGTCGAGAGCCAATCTACTGGGTGTCAATCCGTACTTGAATGAAATGGAGACCATAAACTTTTACGACCACTACTCCTCGGTGTGCATCAAAGACCATATGAGAATGAATTTTGGACCATTTGCATGGGCCTCTATGATGAAAAGAGACGAAGGGTTGACTGCCCTTTGGAATTTTATAAGCAAACAAAAGGAAAGTTCGCAGAACTTTGTGGTTTGCCCGGTGAGTAACCAATCGGCCCAGGAAAATGCCCAAGTTGTAGTCAGTGACAACAACGAATCGGATATGAAGTTCCGCAAGCGGATGTTGGAAACGAATGGGTACAATGATGTTGTTCCTTACAATTTCTTGAAATCGAAGATGAAGTCAAAGCCTAATAAAGAGACGTTGCAATTGGAACTCACTTTGTTTGACAATCAACTTGGTTGTGAGTTGCTTTTAATTGACAGGATTCGAAGAACTCTTCCTAGCAAAAAAGTGGTTTGGAAATTGATTGATCGGTTCTTTGAATGGTGTTATCCATTTATGCCCTTTTTGGATGAAGAGGAGTTTATTGATTGGACAGAAAAGATTGTTGGGCCTCGTTCGTATGAAGATGTTCCAATCACAGATTTGAAGATTGAGAAAAGGTTGGATTTGGCTTTGGTGGGGATCTTGTTGATAGCGATGAGGTTGTCCTATTTGTCTCTTTTCTCAAACAAGGCACTGGAAAACGACGAGAGACTAAACACCACCGACCCTAGTCCAAAAGCTCAAGACACAAAGTACCTAATGCAAAACCCGATTGGTATTGAGATTATTGAAATTGCCCGATACTGTTTTTATCAGTTTGACGTTTTGAGAAGAGCCAGTTTACCGTTGATTCAGTTGGCATTGTTTATGAGAATTTATTACATGTTTGCGCCTGAAGACGGGGATGATGGTGATGGGGCGGACTCCAATGGTCTTTATGCGTTGGTTGTTCAAATGGCTTACTCATTAGGACTCAATCGTGAGCCCAAAAATTTCCCAGATGTGTTACCCGATGAGAGAAAGAATCACATTGGTAGGAAAATATGGCATCTTGTCGTCATGTCCGATCTCTACCAAGCTTATACATACGGAAGCCCAATGCTCATCAGTCCTGATAGTTATGATACCGAGTTTCCTTATTCAACTGAGGACAACTCTAACTTGAAGAATAAAGAGTTGGACAAGTATATAACAGGCTTGTTCTTTGCGAAGGACAATGGGATGCAGAATGTTTTGAGGCAGATTTTGAATAAAATTGTCAGCTTGACGGGAAGGACAAAGCTCAGTGAGTTGACAAACTTGATCAGTGAGCTAGAGGTGAGAATGGGACAACTGTATGGCTCGTTGAAGGAGTGTTTACAAGCTAATACAAATATTACCCATGTTTTTGCAAGGAATTTCCCCGCCAAACACTACATTTCCATGAAGTCATTTCTTGTCTCGACATTTTATCACATCTTCCTCTACTACGAGAACAAGGATGTGCAACTCACTTACTTTTATCTCAAAAAAATCGTGCAAATTGCCGCTATAGATTTGATGCCACATTACTTTGAGTTGATGGGTAACAGCGCTGTTATTTGCGATATGTTTATCAATCCAAAGTTGCAACACATTATTCACAAATTGAATCAGCTCAATATTGCCGTGATTATAAGAGTCAACATGACCATATACAGGTTACGGTCTCAGCCTGATCACCAATCAAAGTGCATATCTGATAATGCATATTATGAGTATTATAGAGAGTTGTGCAAGTTCTCCTCGTGTTTGACTAGATCTGCCGAAGTCTCAATTGCGGCAGTATCGAAATTGAGTTCGAGATATTTTTATGCTTGGAAGTTGACAAAGAGTCATTCGTATTTCTTGAAAGTGGTCACGTCAATGGACTTTTACAATGATGAACTAGTCAAAGCTAATCCAAAAGTAAGACTTCCTGATTTTTCCACTGCGCAAATTAGTGAGTTGGTCAATTTATGTGAGGGTACATTGCGCAAGTTGGGTAAAGTTGATTTGATGGGTAAGGAATTCTGCGACTATGTCACTTGTAAGCAGGCTTATGGTCATGATGTGTCATCTGCATCGTCAACGTCAAGAGACACGGGTAATTTATCTACTCCAACGAGTGATACTTCAGTTGGTGAGTTCACCAAAGAATTTGGCTTGGATTATCTCAATAGTCAGGATATCGATCGAATTTGGTTGCAAATGTTGTCACAAAATCAACAACAACAGAATCAGCAGGTTAATTATGGAGGAACCCCTCAACCTCAGCAACAGCAAGCGTATAACCAAAACTATCAAGCGCTGCAAGTGCCTCCACAACAACAACAACAACAGCAACAGCAACAGCAACAGCAACAGCAACAGCAACAACAACAGCAACAACAGCAACAACAGCAACAGCAACAATCTGTTGGAAACCTAGGCTCATACTTGCCGCCACAACGAGGATATGGAATGTCGCCGACGCCATTCTGGCAAGGTGGAGCGACTTTCAACCCACTGGATGTTCCCGTCACGCCTGGTTTCGTGTCGACGGGGGCATTGGACGATATCAATCTGTTTGATTTTTTCAACGATCTACCCCTCGACCAAGTGTTTTCTAATTGAGGAGGTGAACCATTTGTGTATAAAGTTTTATGTGTTAGTAAAGTTACAAAGATTTGGATATATAGTCTCATTTGTATGTCCCCTGAGTAAAAACACTCGATAAGCTTTCTCTCACCTCTCCTCTCATCTACTCCTACACTTGCGTCATTCACCGATTTAATATTATGAGTATTACTATACAAGTTGTCTTTCTACTAAACTTCAACCCAGATGCGAGGTTTAAGCAGCAGCAGCAGCAGCCTTGGCCTTCTTGGCCAATTTGTCATTAGCCTTAGAACCCATGATACCACCACCCCAGTGTTTCTTGTTTTCTTCGTATTTTTGCAAGTAGTTGGCATCAATAGTTGAAATCAATTTTGACAATTCACCTTCATCAGCAGAGGAAACCTCAGTCAAGGCAGCGACAGATGAGGTCTTTTTGTGAACCAAGGTTCCCAATCTAGCCTTACCTTTGACAATAGCGTAAGGAACACCCATCTTCTTACATAAAGCTGGCAAGAAAACAACCAATTCAATTGGGTCAACGTCATTGGCAATAAGAACCAACTTAGCCTTCTTGTTCTCAACAAGAGAAACAACGTGGTTCAAACCATACTTGACGACAACTGGCTTTGGTGAGGCATCCTTAGCGGACTTACCTTCAGCAACAGCTGCAGCTTCCTTGGTCAATCTTTCCTTCTTTTCAGCAGCGGTTTCTGGTCTGTACTTGTTGAACAATTTAAAAGCTTGAGCAGCAGTGTTCTTGTCCAAGGTTTGGTTGAATTGGGCAATAGATGGAGGGACCTTCAATCTGAGGGACAAGATCTTCTTTTGTCTTTGTAATCTAACGTATTCTGGCCATTTGACAAATCTGGACAAGTTTCTCTTTGGTTGGATGGATTGACCGATACCAAAGTTCTTTGGAGTGGATTCGAGCAATGGGTTCTTGGATTCGGCAGATTTGCTTGACTTGGCAGCAAATGGGGATGGTGCCACCTTCTTTCCTTTTGGAGCCATGGTTTATGCTGTGGTTGTTGTAGATCTGTGTTGGGTGTACCTTAGTAGCAGATTGGTTTTTACTCTGAAAATTTATTTTTGCGCAAGCTGGAGCAGGTCTTTGAAACTCTGTGTGCGAGAAGCCCATCTAGTCATGTGATGCAATGGGACTGTTTTTATTTTATTTTATTTTATTTTTTTTTTTTTGCTTTTTTTGGAGAATTTCTTTTTACATTGAGTGTCGTGAAAAGTGTGTCGCGAACGAATGTGTTGCAATTAAATCAAATAAACATAATTATTAAAGATTCTATAAATTCTACCCGTTGTCCAAATGATAATTATAAAGAACTGAATATATCCCTCTCCCTTGGCTGCTAGTGCTGGCGCCTTTAGTCTTGAGCAACCATTTAATCCAAGGCCGTCTTAGCGACCCATCTACTATTACACCAACCTTTTACAGTAAATTGCGTTTTGGAAACTCCCAGGTTGGGTGCTTTACCATTAAACACCCATTTACCACGAGGTAAGATCCCAGCTGGCTTGATACTTGGTTTCAAATCCCACGGCAAATACTTGCTATTCTTTCTTGTGAGTGACGCATGGCTGCTCACCAGCAGGTCATCGGCAACACAGATGTAATCCTCGGAATCAACGCTTTCTTCTGGTGACTTGTCGTGTCTAGGTTTGAGTACAACAGAATTCCAAAGTTTTTGTCTTGACAAGTTCGAAATGTGGTATATATTGTGCCGTGAATGGAACGACTTCAAATGTGGGTTGTTTAAAATAATAATCATCAAGTCCTCTTGTGAAAGGGAATTGGGGAGGGTTTTGGAGTTGATGCGTGCGTTGTAGTCGTAGGCATATAATCTTAGAAATTGTGCATTGATGCGGTGGTCTCTATTTTTGAAAGATGGTTTGATGTGTTCTTGAGAAGTTGTGTCGTGGTCATGTTTAGCCTCAAAAAATGTAATCAACTCTTGGGCTGGAAGCTCTTCAGTATTAGCGGCTGGTAATTCTTTTTCTGTGACTGCATGTGTATCCACTTCAAAATCGGCTAATGCCCTTGTCACAAGTCTTTCCCTAATTGATTTTATTGATTCCGTGAGATTCGAGTATAGAGATTGCTTCAGTTGATACTTGTGGAGCACTTTACTCAAACATTCCGTCGACGAAGATCTACTTAGTTTGGGCAATTTTGTTCGTTCACACCTGCTGGTGTTTTCAAAGGAAACAAATGTGGAAAGTGGTGAGGAGCTTGGTGTCAATAACGGTGATGAGATTGCAGTGGTATCGGCATCTATGCGGCTTATTATGGGTGTAGTTGAAGACGATGTTGTAAACAATGCCGTTGTGGTCGACGGGGAGCTCGCTAGTGACGAAGGTATAAGTGCTGAACCATTCAACGAAAGGAGGGAAAGACTCGATCTGGTACTTGGTATGCTACTCCCCAAACTTAGATCACATTGACTTGGTGAATTAAGCACGTAGCCTTGAAGAAACAGCGGCTCTCTAAACTGTTCTGGCGAGGTTGAGCAGGAAGAATATGAAACGTCATCAAGCGAATCGTAGTCGTCTTCAGAACAGTTGTTCTCGTTGGTTTCATCAACAGAAGCATCATCCAATGGATGCCTTACTTTAGCGAGTTTAGATGCAGTCTCTGTCTTTTCCTTGGTAGGGATGTTGACCCTGTATTTTTGGATTTTCGAAAGTTTACCTTTAGCTGCTGTATGCTGCTGCTGCTCTAGTAATTGTTGGACGTATAATTCCAGCGGAACCCGACGGTCAAAGGATAGTTCTTCATGTGTATCAACGTACATCTTTTGCAAAGTAAAAAAAAAGAAAAAAAAATGGTAGACTGCAGTGGGGTATGTTATATTTGCATATCTAAGAAGTGTCCCAGCTTGAAGTGTTATCACTGCTGGAGAACGCCGATGATTTGTAATGTGGTGAAGATTGAAGCAAAACAACACACACACACACACACACTGGTGTCAACTGTAGTAACTTACTAGTAAATAAAGCTGAAAGTCGGAAGGGATACTTCAGTGAATGTGGTTGATGTAACAAAAGTGAAATTTTGGAGAAGAAGTTGGGGAAAGTGTAGGGTTTTATAATATTACACTATTGTATCTGTCTGTATATATATATATATATATACATATCTAACAAAAAAAGAACTTTGACTTCTGCAACTGTCTGTTTGTCTGTGTGTCGTCTAATCTTTATTTTTGTCCCTTTTCCTTCTCTATATAAGAGAGAGAGAGAAAGAGAGAGAGACTGCATATAAATAAGAAATAATAATGCCGAAAAAGAAATACAATACAATTGTACAATTTTCTATTGCTTAAGGCGATTCTATACATGCACAGTAAACTCCACGAGGAGATTCCATCAAACCTCCTATGCTTAGCCTATCACTGAATATGGAAAGCCTTCTCTTCTTGTGCTTTGAAGGATGAAATGGAAATTACCATGGCTCAAAAAGAGTTACTAATCACAATACACACAAAAGTGAGATAAGAAGAAAGAAAGAAAAAAAGAAAAAAAAGGAAGAAGTTGCTCTTTTGTGTGAAATTCCACATTTACTTCGGAGATCCAGAGGATTTTGTTACGTCTTGGCCAACATTTCCCACCTTGATGCCGTATGGAATGATCCGAACTTCAAACTAGCTCACGTCCACGCGTGCCTTTCGTTCTCCAAACCCCAATGTTGTGTTGTCAATGGTGGCATTAGGACATTGCAGATGTCCAGTATCACTTTCTTGTTATTTCTCTGTGTAGTCCCCCAACTACTAGACATCTACGATGTTTGGAAGACGAAAAGTGTGGTTGCTATGTGCCACATATTGTTAAGAACAGAAAAACATACTTTGAATAGCAAACATAAGCAATGTGTTGTTCAACTTGTCCAAAAGGAGTTGTCCGTTGCGCTTTTGTTTAGTTTAATTTTTGTGTTGGGAATTTCATAGATAAGAGATTTCAAAAGTCACGCATTCTCTTAAAAGACGTGACATCAATAATAACAAATTTGCAACAGCAGAAGCAAAGGAGTGTTGATTGTCACGATCGATGTAAAAGACAGTATGTTAATTTAACATGGTGCTTAATCAATCACTTCTTTAAAGCTGCTTTCTCCATCTCTCAATGTATAGAGATATAACGTTGAAAATAATTTACTAATCCGGAAGGTTTAAACTCTTTCGCTTACTTTTTCCGCTCTTTGTTCTTGCGTGTTGCCATTTTGCCACAGTTAAAAAAAGGGATACATAACAAACAAACAAACAAACAACAGCAACAGCAACAACAACATGGAATTCGAAACGTCTTTTGGTCTCATAACCATAAAATTTGACTCCGTTTGGTTGAATGGTCTTCTCCCTTAACTTTCAATTTGCAACAGCCTCCCACGTGTTGCTCTGGATTGAGAGTACTATGTATGGCTAAACCACAAGCATCATCTCGTCTGTCAATTGGACTTGATGACAAAGGATTAGATCCGTCAATTTTGTTGCAACTTTGTCACAAAAATTGTGCAGAACAATAGACAAGACTATTTTTAGAATACGCGATGATAAAATTGTGTCCGAATGCCGTTTTCCTTCATTTATGGGAGTACGGCAAAATTTGAGTAAACTCTCTCTTCTCTATTAGTTGCCGTACTCATGGATCTTTAGTGTGCCTTACGATGAAATTGTTCTCCTCTACAATGTCTTGCTTAGAATGAGTATCAGTCGTTCTTGCAGTGAGACAGCATCTCATACAACTCATGTATCTCGTTGGCTGTTCTAAAAGTCCTTCTGTCCTTTTTTTAAAAAAAAAAAGAAAAAATTGTCTACACAACTGTAAATTCGTCCATCTATATGTCCCGATCCTCATAATCCATGTCATTTAAAGCTTGCAACTCGAATGCATCATCATCTCTTGCGCCACCACCATAGTCGCGTGATCTTTGCTGCTGTTGCTGTTGCTGGTGTCCGTTATTCAACCGGTCATACTTTGCATGTAAGCGTCTACTCTGTTTATCTCTCATTCTCTTTCTCCTGTGCAAAATCATGTCGAAACTACCAACAACACGTTTGAAAGGATTGATTGAATAAAACTCATCGAAAATCTCATCAATCTGTTCCAATTCAATGCCTTTAGTTTCGGGATAAAACAACACCACACAAACAATACTTATAAAACATGAACCAGCAGGAAATAAGTACATGGCCCATTTGATGTTATGACGCATGATGGGGGCACACAACCCCACTATGAAATTACTCAACCAGTTACAAGCAACTGCAAGCGATACACCTTTGGATCTGACAGAAAGTGGATATGATTCACCCGATAATAGGAATGGAATTGGTCCAAATCCAAATCCAAATGATGCATTGTAAATAATGACAAGCACCGCCACTACTGATGCAGTGTATGACCGATTTAGAAGCATAAACACAGACACCAATATCAAACATATGCCCATTGCTAACCCACTACTAATCAATATTGGTCGTCTTCCCCATCGATCCACTAAAAACCAAGGTGGAATAGTCGATAACAAGTATATTATACCATTGACCCCCGTCATCAACAAAGCACCAGCATCGTCAAAGCCAGCTTCTTGGAAAACCAGTGGCGCATAGTATGAAATGATATTGATTCCATTTAACTGAGCAAAAATCAATGATGAACAAGCAACAAATACTCGTTTCTTGTAGTGTCTTAACAAGTGTTGCCAAGTACGTTCAGATTTAGGTGTCATTTTCCGTTCACGTAAAATGGAATTCTTGATCATAAAGAATTCACTCTTGGGTTTGGTTGATTTTGGGTGGGAATCATACAACAAGCTCAAGACATTGAAACCTTGTTGATCCATATCGTTATCCAACAACCAACGAGGACTCTCCACGATGAAAAACCCACCAATAAATAATACAAACGCAATAGCAACTTGTATAAACAATGGTAATCTCCAGCTCAAATGAGCTAGAAACGAGTGTGGGTTTTGTCTAGTATCCCCAACATTTTGAATAAAATAACAGAAATAATCAACCCAAACACTCAATGCGTAACCGGTGATATTACCAGTAAATTCTCCGCACACCAACTTACCTCTTTCTTCACTAGGACTAATTTCACATTGATACGATGGAACAATAGTGGAAAGTATTCCAACACCAACCCCACTGAAAACCCTCCCCACCGCGAAAACAAACATGTTGGGGCAAAATGATTGCAATGCACCACCAATCATAAAGATAAAAGTACCCAACAATATGGTTCTCTTTCTACCAAACGTATCAGATATTTTCGCAACCAAAATCGAACTAACCATGGCACCAATCTCCAAAATCGAAATAACAAACCCAATCATTGCTGGGCCAGGCGAATTGAAAAACCCATTGAATGTATCAAACGCAAGTATACCACTGCATACACCTTGTTCGTACCCAAACAAACTCACAAACAAACTGACAAATGCTGATGTGAAATACACCAATTTGTTTCCTTTGAACGTGAGCTTCAGTGTATATGCTTTATTATTGAAGTCTATGGCATAATGATTGCCAAATTCGTCCGTAAATGAATCAAATGAGCGGCGTTCTAAATCATCGTCATCATCACCGCCACCTTCTCCCGAACGCTTGAATTGTATAGGGTCAAATCTGTCGTAATCATCATCATCAGCATCATCATCATCATCATCTCCGTCTGCACGGTCCAGCAGACTACTGCCAAACTCACTATGTCTGAAATTTTTACTCCCATTGGCCTTTGTGTCATCATCAAAGTGTGACTGCTCTTGTCGTGGAAACGAGTCCGTCAATGGCTCAGTGGCATGAACGGACGCTGGCTCTTCAATAGATAGTATGTTGTGGTCGGAAAATGGGTCTTGACCAGTGTTGTTGCTTAGTGGATTGTATGACATTTTCGCACCAGACTCATTGACCTGAAAAAAAAATGATATAGATATGCTAGCGTTTGAGGAGTCGTTTGTAAAGGTGAGTTGTGTACTTTGTTTTGACTCGTGTATATGTGTTGATACCCAGCAAGTGCTCGCTAAAGGTAATATTTAGTTTCTTGCTGGTTGTGTTGGGGGTCAATCTCGTTGTTCGAGTCCTTTTTTTTTTTTTGTTGTTGTTCCCTTTGTTGTCGGAGATTGTGTGCTCTCGTTCTCGTGACGTGAGGTTTTGTGTAAACTGCGTGTCTTGTATTCAGTGATACTCTATTCGTGGAGGTAGAACTAAACTCAGGTATGTCAAGCCCAGCTACTGGGTCAAGTGCGACTGTTGCCTGCTCGTCATACCTCTAAAGGTTATAAAGGGACGTGAGTAGAATAACACCACTGCATAGAGATGTGCTGAGGAGAGGGTTACCCTTTTTTTTTCGTTTTTTTTTTTTTCTTTTTGCAACTGCAACACCTACATGTTTCAATTCATCTAAATATTCTAATATCTTTATACTTTATCTACAAATGGGAATATTGCTCACCTGAGCATCCGCAGCCACCTACTTGCTCTTTGTCTTGAAATAACTTTCAATGTAGAAAGCGGCAAACAAAGCCGTCAATGGTGTCAAATACGCAACATTGATCAACAATGGCAATGCCTTTTCTGGTGTACTGATACAATTGACCAATTTCATATGTTCAGGGCTAACCAACTTGCTTGTGTCCACAATCCAAACAAAACTATGCAAAACAGCGATACTTCCACCAAGGACAAATTGAGTGATTTGCATCGAAGTCAACAGTTTCTTAAACACTTGGGGAACTTTGATATGCAAGCACGACAAGGTAAAGTAGAAATACATCAACGAATGGATAAATGAGTTGAAGACAACAAAGATCCAAATTGGTGGCGATTGGTATCTTACTCCTGCCCACATGCACATCATTGCTCCAGCATGATGATAACTTTGCAATAACGATGATGGACGTCCCTTGAGAAGAATGACAAGAGTATCGATAACTTCATAAAACTTGGAAATGTAGAACCAAAATCCTAAAATTTCCAAATTGTGCAACCCCTGAGCTGATGTGATTACTCTTGAGAAAATACCACTGTTTGGATCGCAAACACTTTGGAAAAACACATCCAATTTTTGCAACGTATAGTTTTCAACCTTCAAGCTTTGATAAAATGATGGAATCAACTCCATTTTGAAAATGTCCATCGTTGATGCGATGGTGGTTGTCATTCCAATAAATGTCCATACGGAGTAAACACATAAAAAGACGTTGTGCAAAATGACAAAAATTTTGAAAAGTGAAGTGGTGGCTACGGAGTAAGGAGCAGCAGGTAACCTCTTTTTAGCTTGGGATTTGGTATCGTTTGATTTCCCCTCCAATTGCTGTTGTTTACGAACTTGTCTATTTCTAACAACTTTGTTCATGAGATGCACTGAGGTGAAGTAAAGGACGGCAATGGTTAATGGAGTTGACCCTCTCATTGTGAACTCGTACAATTGGGTCAAGTATGGGTTGCTGAAGGGGCTAGGAGGAATTGGACTCTCCAAGACAGGTTTTTTACTCCAGGCCTCAGCACTGGGAAGTCCAAATTTCATCAACATTTTTAAATAGTTCTGTTGGTTGGCGCTGGTGTGTAGTACGTGAGTAGATGACGACTCTGTTCTGTTTCCGATGAGGTCTTATAGTCGAAGCAAGGATTTTCCTTTCGTTTTATACCAGGACGTACTGGACGGAGAAAATAATACTCATGAATAGCGCAAAAATGAAACCCAAACCCAAAAAAGTTTCATAGTGCCATCTCAGTACAAAGTGGAAGTTTAGCTATGTTTGTGTGTGTGTGTGTATGTACTTCCATATTCGGAATACATGCGTTTGACTTCACTCTCTCTTCCCTTGTTCGTATATGGCGTTTTCTGCGGATAAAACTCGCGCAGAACAACTTTGTGATTCGGAGTTTGTCTGAAAGAAGAAATGTTGGGTAAAAAAAAATAAAAATAAAAAAAAAACTTCAACCTGTGTCTCTCTCTCTGTTTTGGAGCTATTTTTAAAGAACGGGGGTGAGGTGGACTTAGAGTGGAAAAGCCGGATATGCCGACATATATGCACAGAATGTTCCGCTTTGGATACCAGAAGATGACAGGGGGTAACTGAGCCAGCCATCAGGGAACCAGTACGGTTTGGCATCTTTCTACGCTCCAGCGACCAAAAATCTCAACAAAAAATTTCTTTTTGGTTCCTCCTCGGCTAAATGTAAATTGTATTTGTCTTTTTTTCCTTTTTTTTTTTTTTATTCTCTCTCTTTGCACGGCACGGGACGGGACGGGAGAAGCGGGACTCAGATCAGAACAGATCAGAACTCAACAAAATTCTGGGACACAACTGTATTACTATCACTCTATGCAACCGTACGTTTGAACATTATCTGTGCTATGTCTTGTAATCCAAATGACGCGCGTATCATAATTCTGTGCAGCTTTTGTCAGGTTGAACCGGTTCGGGTGCGATACATAGATCCTACACGTTCCGCAATGATGCAAAACTGGAGAGGATTTGAGATCCAGCCGTATAAACTGTTCCGAGTGGGGCTTTAAGATGAACCCCGCCCTATCACCTACTCAAGGTAAACTCCATTTCTATTGACGTATAATTTTTACACATTGTATACATAATTTCCCTTACCAAGTACAGGTTCCAAGTTAAACTTTACCGGCAGCAACTTCACCTGCGGTTGTTGAAGTTGATCAAACCCGTGGTAGTTGTTGTTGTTGTTGAACCTTACTGGTGATTGCTGAAGCGGCCATTTTTGTTTGGTTGGAGACTGAGGTCCAATCCATGGCAGACACGTGCTGTTCCTGATCGGTGACGACATCATCAACTGTTGTCGTGATGGAGAAACCATATAACTCTTTATTGGCGATGACACTGTGTCGGGTGCTGAATGTTTGGATTGGTATTTCTTCGTTGGAGAGCCTGAAGGTGTTGTGGCTGCCATGTTGATGTTTACATCCGTGATGGATTGTAATGGGATTTGATTTGAAAATCTTTGAAGCTTGATTGGAGAAGATAACGAAGATTCCAAGATTGAGTTGAAGTCCATTTCACCTTTTTCATAGATCAAGAATCCGTGGTCTCTCAACCAAAATGTCATAGATTCGATCGCTTCGTGTATCTTGTCATCACTATAATATGATAGTATAATTTGATGGTATGGTAACTCAGAGTTCACTGGTGTTTCATTGACATTTACATCATATCCAAGTATGATTTTGAATGGAATCACAATTTCATCTTCAAATGCCCTTGTTGCTTTAAAGTATTGCTTGAATTTGGTTACATTCCCAGCAAATTTGAATTCATAACTTGATGGAAGAATGGATTGCAATTGCTTGGCGCATGACTTGATTTTAGATTCTGATCCTTTAATGTTAAACTCAACAACATTGTTCATCTTGAATGCATCGATTGAATTTGGGAAGTCGATAAATGAATTGTAATCATGCTCATATTGGTTGATTAAATGAAGCTTGTTGTTGTTTACCAACATCATATACTGGCTTTTCAAAATTTGGAACCTCATATTGTAATAAATGGAGACATTCTGCTGTTGCACATCATTCATACAATATTTCAACACCAAATCGTCAATCTCCTGCTTAACTAGTGGAATATTGGCCATGTTTTTGCGTGGACATTTGATCAATACATTTGGCTGACGCGATAAGGAGTAAACATCGGTTGAAGTGTCGAAATTGGATGAGAATTTGATAAAGACATTATACCTTTTCATAATTGATTGAATCATTGATCCCCCATTACCAATAATTGACTTGTGGAATACTTCTGGGATGTTGAATTTCAACTCCAGCGGTAACTCCAACTCAATCAAGTCGATAACGTGACCTATTATTGATGACGATGACTCAATGTCAATAAAGAATCGTAATTCATTATAGGGTACAAATTTGATCGATGGAGTATTGTTGACTTGATTGAGAATTTTAACCAATTTCCCATTCTTTTTACCACTAATGAAATCTTTTTGGTCGTTGTTGACTTCAATGCGTACATTCAATGTTGATGAAAGTAGTGACAACTGGTCAATTATCGATTTCATTTCCTTGTGCAGTCCATTGATTTCGTAACAGTTGCCGGTCCATTCAACTATGCATGTCTTTGTGTATTGACACATTTGCATCACTTCATTTTTGTTGGTACATACACCTGAGACTGTGTAGTAGTGGGTTAATATTGAACCAATGTCTTTGACACATTCGTCAATTGCATCAGTGGTTAGTCCTTGGATTACAATTGACTGATTCTCTTCTCCCAAACTTGGCAACTGTATAAATACACCATGTTTCACCATCAAATCAATAATATCTTGTTGGTTATGCAAAAGAGTTAGATCAAGTTTTGACTGGCTGAGTTTGATCTTTTTCGAAATGAGTTGACTATTTTTGTAGAGTGTCTTGTCTAAAATAGATCTAGTAGATATTATGTCCATGGCGTATTTAGCAGTAATCCATACTGTCATGTCAAAATTACCAGTGACAATGTTTGAATTGAAAATGTTTGGTAACAAGTCTGGTATGTAGATATTTGAGCCTGTTTGCTTGGCGATTTGTTTGAAATTGGACAAGTTTACACCTCCTGTCAATGGAATTAAGCTTAGTGGTAGCGAATAAGAATCTATAGTATAGTTGTTCAAATGCAGGTCAATCAACACCTTTAGTGAAGTGCCAAAGAATGTTACGTTATCGTGTTGACCAATGATATGTATGGAGTAGGCTGGCTCTGATCCCTTTTTACTAAAAGACGACCTTTCGTTGTTGATTATGACTTCCACTTGATATCGTTGACACATTTTGTTCATTTTGTGAATAAACTCTTCATCAATCTTCATGTACTGCGACTCATCAAGAGTGGTAGTTTTAGAGCTGACATAATTGTAGGAGTGTAGTATTTTTGTCTTTGATTTGGTTATAAATGACTCTTCACCATGTATATGGACAATAATACGATGATTGTTCATCAGAGGCGGCACTAGCTCAACATGATTCACCAAGTTCCCACCCAGATTTATCTCGCTGCAAATCAGGGTCAATTTAGACAAGTTATCCATGACTTTGTATGATTCACCTGTCAAATCATTCAAATGAGTCTTCCACAATCCATTGTTGGTCTCATAGAATGTTTGATAGCCGGGTGATTTTCTAGTTGCTTTTGGATCAATTCTGAAGCTGTATGCCAAGTTTAATGTAAGTGTAGTGGCAGTCATTAGTGGCGAAGTCTGTTGTTCCAGTATGCTGTGGGTCAATCCTGAGATCTTTGCTTTTGAAATTTTATGCAAAAGACTCGGGGTATAATTATATATACTAAATTGGTCTTCCACCTGCCTCCCCCTCTCCCCTTTTTCCGGTAAATACAAGTATAATAAGCGTAATGTATGCGACTCTTTTGTACCTAAAGTTTTAGTCAGTGAAAGTTGCAAAATATAAAGAAAATATGCAAAGATGCTTTAGTTCATTGTTGATGTTGATTTGATCGGTTACCCAATTAGGCAAATTGATTGTTGATCCACAAAAACAAAAAAAACATCAATGCGTAAATATTTTCAAGTTGGACTAAATAGGCAGTTGCACCCATAAAGAGTAGTATAACATAAACTAAACACAATACAGCACCAAAAGAATAGACACTACATATGGAAGGGAAATAGCAAAGAACGTTGACAACAGTTAGGCTGATCGATTCTGCATATTGTGTAACACTACATTAGTCACTTTTCTTTTTACAACCTTTTAAATTCCGCTCTTTCCCTTTATAGTCTCTTTGAATCCCATATGTACACCATTTCATCCCATCCTGTAGTGGCACACCATCCAGGTTCTCCCCAAAGACTGTAATCGCATCCTATAACAAATTCTCTATGTTTATTAAACACACCTTTCAATCCACCAGTCTTTGTATTCAAGAATCTTGCCCTCTCATCCAGTTCATCTACCCATACTCTAGCTGTCATGTCGTACGAAGTAGTTAGTAACTCTTTACCATTATGAGGGGACCACTGAACTCGCCTCACAGCAAACTCATGACCCACAAAGTTGTTGAGTGCGCTTGGACCTCGTTGGTGTTGCAGTGGCATGGGTGAATGTGCAGAAGGCTGGTCTAAATTGGAAACCATCCTTAGATCCCACACTCTTACAGATTTGTCAGTTCCACCTGATGCAATTACTGTTGATTTATACTTGTTCCAATCAACCGAAAGGGTTTCTAACCCATCATGAGAGACAAAATGCAACTGCAAGGGATGTGGAGTCCGAATGTCCCAAACCTGTACTTGTGAAGCACCAGTGCACGACACAAGCGTCGACGGTGAATGAGGTGAAAATTGGGCAGAATAGATACAGTTCTTTGTGCTGGTTTGTTGATTTCTTTGATGATGTTGTTGATGCAGAAGGGGTGGTTGTGCCGTTGACGCCACTGGAGCAGCCATTGTGGTATAATCAGTGCCGCCTGGGTTGAGGGTGAGCATCGACTCTTTTCTTTGACTTGACCAAATCTTTATGCTTCCATCCCAACTGGATGTGACAAAATTCGTCTTGTCCACCAAGTTCCAATTCACTGAAAACACCTCGCGTTGATGCTCGTTCCATTGCATTATTGGGAACTGGGGCACAGTACGATCAAACAATTTAACCAGACCATCACCACTGGCGGCAACACATTGGTTCTCGTGTATCTCACTCCAAGCTAGGTCAAACAACCCATCCTGCGTTTCCCACGATATGGGACTTGTTATCTGTCCAGTAGGCTCGATGTCTAGGATGAATAGTCTCCCGTTCCCCACAAGACCATAATTGGCAGCTGTGGCAACTGCTAGCTTATTATCAAAGAATGGCGAGTACTGGACTCCGTAACCATTGTATCCCTTTGTACGAAAGGATAACATGGAATTTTCTGTGGGCCAAAAAATTGTTGCGATTTGCCCTTTTTTCGGTGAGGTCGATATCGATTGGATTAAAGCTTCAAAAGAAATTTTAATTATATGCAGTACACACTTGAACTATTTACAAGTTATAAGTTTTGCAACTCAAGTACTTTATAGCATCATGATACTTTGACTCGATTTTATCTTTATCAAGTAGGCTAAACTGTATTGCATCACCTACAACAATGGCCACTTTTTGATTACTATACTTTAAGTAATCAAAATCATCATCACTCGAAGTTATGGCATCGCCGGCAGTTACTTCCAAATCTTGGAGTCCAAATTTTTCCATTTCAACTGTGATGTTGTAAGTGCTATCGACGCCCTGCTCGCTTTCTCTTCTGTTCGCTTCTGGTCTTGGTTCAATAGGACCATTCTGAATTAATCCCCAAAGTGCCCAAAAGATTTGCACAGATGAACGCCAGTACACACATTCATTGTACATTTTCTCAATCTCATATTGAATAATGCTGACTGCTTGCTTATCCGAACTGTTCAACAACTCTACATCTGATTTGGCCGCTTTCAAATTCGACGATGGTAATTGGAAATCATACTCAATATACGCTTTGATAAAATTGAGTTGCTGCAATTGAGTTGGGAAGTTTTTGTCATTTATAAAATATGACCTTTCCGGGTCATGATAATTGGCCATCCACTCACTAAAATGATTCACAATGTCAAATGCAGGAAAGTTTGGTCCCGAGTACTCAAAATCGATAACTACCAAGTTGGCATCTTTTTTGTTTGAGGTGGATTTAATAGCAACTTCAGTTAAATCTTCACTAGATCCAGCAGGGGTTTCAATTACAATGTCCTCGGGCTCAAAGGTACTGTGGAGAAGCAAGTTTCCGTACTGGGTATCGTTGTGACAGAATTTGTAGTTCAAAGAGAACCCTTCCTTCCTGTACTTGTCAAACAACCACTCCTTGTACTTATACACTAACTCTTTGAACTCCTCAAAATCCATCATAAAGATATCTTTGACATTAACACCTGCTCTTTCAAACCCTGGCTTGTACTCCAATTCGAAAATTTTGAGCCATTTTTCAATCAACCTCCAGCATGTGGGAACAGGTAAACTTGTCTCCTCCTCCGTCAACTCAACCTTATAATGCAAATCTTTCATTCGTCTACCAATCATTTGCGAAATCACTTGGTCCCTGATTTGATCTTTGGTCAAGGCGACAAACCCCTCCAAGAACTGTTCAAACCTCCCATTGGTGAAAATACCCAATAGTCTAGGACCAATACGCTTCTGTGACAACTTGATCAATGTTGACAATTCACTATCTCTATCAATCAACTCGTCAACATTTTTACCATACACCCGTAACAACAATGAAGGTAAATGTATACCCTGTTCTTCATCCACGTAATCGATTTTGTAAATAGAATTCGTTAACGCTCCTGATATTCTAGTGATGGCAAGCTTATGCATATTCAAGTTTCGTTTATGCCATTTGTGTATTCTCAAAGCTTTAGTCAACGCTATTACATCTTGTTTAAAAAAGTCTGCCGGTAATGAGTTATCCAAAACTGCTTGAACTGAAGGAACAGACCTCTCATCATTAATTTGGGTCGGTGTAATTGTCAACTTGTTCAAAGACGAGCTGGACAAAGATCTTCTTGATCCTGATAAGCTCGGCCTCCTCGTAGCCGAAGTAGACCTAGAGTTGGCCGTCGAGTTTCTCGTTCTCGACCTTGACCTTGATCGCGGCGTCAAACTTGCTGGTGAAATCTCCATTTATTAATTCTGGTGAAAAGAGGAGTTCGGTTGAGATGTTGGTGTATTTGATTGGGGGTGTAGTTAGGTGATATGACCACTATTGATTGATACAAATGAAGCTGGCTCCTGTTGGGTGTTGCAAAATTAACTTTTCAAGATAAATTCTAAAGAACGTTGATTCTTCATATTTTTGTTGGTTGTACCAAATTAGGTATTAGGTCGCACTATTGGGATCAACATACTTTGCATATGATTTATTACGTGGAAGAGATTGTTTGTGCACAAAACAACGAGAAAAAATTCTTCCATAGATGGACAATGCAGAGTATCTGTGTATATACGATACGACTAAGACGCATGGCTGCGGTGACCAGTGGGCGACTGCTAAACTTCTCACAATACTAGATGGAATAAACAGTAAGAATGTTGTAAGTCACTCTAATTGTGTTAAGCCTCTCAAGCATTCGAGGCTTGATTCAGCAATCCAGTCAGTTATACAGTTTCCTGAGTAATGCATTGATTTGTCTCATTGCATTAGAACAGTTGCGCTAACTGATTCTGGAAGAGCGCCTGTTGAAAAATAAAAATAAAAAAAAAAACAAAAGAAAAAAGAGACTCTATACAACGAATCAGCCTCTTCACGTCACTAGCCACCATGTCGTTTTCTGCGTATTTCACGGCTCTAGCGTGTATCATGGCTGCTGTATTCTACAAACTACATGAGTCTAAGTCATCAAAGTTACTCTCGTTGCAACAGGAATACGAAAACTATGTGAAAACATCCAATTCTGCTCGAGAGAAGCTTACACAGCAATTGAAACAGGAGTTGGAGACATCGAATCAAAGTACCTCGGATAAGATTGAGCAGAGTGGGAAGCGAATTGCAGAACTTGAATCGCAGTTGAAAGAGTACACCTCAAAGAATGAAATGTTGATTGCTTCAGAAAATAAGTTGACAGTGCAGACGTTAGACTTGGTAAAGAAAATTGCATTTACAGAGAAAGAAGCTGACAAGTTGAGGAGCGATTTAAAACAGTCACAAGCCCACTGCGAGCAACTAGCTCAGGACTACAAATTCCAGTTGAATTTCCACATCGAAAAGTTGTCGGTGGAGAAAGACACGCGGATCGCCGAGTTGGAAGAATCAATTGCCAGTGGAAGACGCGAAGTACTCGACCAGAGAGAACTATTCAGAACAGCTGAAAATGGGAAAGACGATATCATAATAGAGCTTCGACAATCGCTTGACAGTTTAAGGGAGAAATTGAAGGAGCTGGAGAAGAGCACCTCTGACCAAATCACAAAGAGTAATCAACTAAGTAAAGATTACCACCAACTGGAAAAAGATTTGGGAGAGTTGAAAGAAGCTTACACGCTAATGCATGAAGACTATGTTAGAGTGTCTAGAGATCTCGATGACACAAGAAAGGCGTTAGTTAGTCTCAAGGAAAGAGCAGAAATGCTTGTCCGTTCAGAGACAAAGTTGAGTAATGAGCTCGACAAAGAAAAAAGTAAGAACCATGAATTGTCAGAGGAGATTAATTACACAACTAAGGAGCTACAGATATACAAAGCTTTCTTCAAAAAATGCGAATTTTTTGTGGAGGATTTGAAACTATTTGATCCTGGTTTTGCTGAAATTGTTAAACAATTAGAGATTGGTGCAGAGAATTTTGAAGCAGTTTCTTCCGGCGAGGATTACCACACAGATGAGGACTACATTTCCGATGCAAAACTGGGTGAGATTGATCAGGATGAATTTGTAATTTTGACAAAGAAAGCATCAACGAATACATTTTCCTTGATTGAGAGGTATATTGAAGAATTGAGAGCAAACGTTGCCAGAGAAAAAGCACTTTTGGGTAAAAAGGAATCAGTTAACGCGGATCTAGAGGCGTTTGTGGCGGAATTGAAGGAAAAATTGGGTGTCGCTGAGTCCAGAAACGTTGTGGTTTTGAACTCAATTCTTGAATCACGCAAGTTAGTCAAAGAGGAGCTTTCTAAGAATCCGTTGGATGTTACAAAATTGAAAGAAATTTTACTTGACGCATATCAAAACATTGAAGACACTGCGATGCCCAAGACTGATAGTAGCAACTCAACGGCTCACAGTGATGCTAATGGGGATGTGAGTGAAAAGGAGGTTGAACCAAGTAAAGTCATTGGTGAAACCACTTTACCACCACTTGACTCTCTGTTAAAGGAAGAGAAGGGGATTGAAAATAACGAGAAGGAAGACGAGCATTTACACAACCAATCAACACAGAATACAACGTCCAATGAAGACGTGAAAGAGGCGGCCAGTGGTTACAAGAAAGAGGCATCTAAGGGTAATGCGACAGATGCGCCCAAGAGTGGCGAGAAAGAGAGTAGTGACCAAACAACCACTAAAACCCCAATGTCATCCATGGGCAACAACGCAAAACAACCACTTGCCTCAATATGGGCGGTCAATGATACTTCCAACGCCAGCAGCGATGTTGATTCCGATTTTGCTCCACCGCCTGCAATATTCAAGACAATAAAGGAGGGCTCTTCAACACCAACACCGTTGTCCGATTTGGGTCCACAAGCAGAGTCCCGCAGCACTGTTGAAAATACAAAAACACCAGAAGCAACAGGAAAGTCAGAAACAGAAGCTCTGGACAAGCTAGATAGTAGTACTTCGAACCAAGGTGCTGAAAGCGACGACAGCAAATCAAGATTGAAGAAAATCGATGAGAAATTACGTGCGGATGTGATCGCTGAGGAGAAAACTATTGAGGATGAGAAATTATTGGCAGAGAAAGAGTCCCAAGATGACAAAGAAATTTTGGACCAATACGATCTTGTGGCTGCTGAAGAGGAGGGAGACGAAGAAGCGGAGATTGAACCATCTGTTGACCCTCTCTCGAACGATCCCGCTGATGAAGAAGGTGCAGAGGATGTAGAGGAATCACCTTCAAAAAGCCAGACTCAGTCAAAGTTTGAGGCATTCAAAAGTGACATTGAGGATGCTAAGGGAGCAAAAGATGGCACCACTAAAGACTCCAAAGACTCTAATAGCAGCAACAGCAGCAACAGCAGCAACAGCAATGAAGGTAACGAGAAGAGTATGTTGGTGGAACCTCATTCAACCAGTGTAGGTGAACAAAAGTTCAAAGCATTCCAAAAAGATTTAAAAGACGCAAACGCGCAAGATGATGATCAAAGTAATGAAGAAGATCCTTCGAAGAACGGCGACTCTCAAAAGGAAAGGGAGAGTTCTACGGAAGTTGACGTTGCGGAAGATGGTAATGACGATGACGGTGACAAAGCTGGTGTTGCTACAGAGAATGACAGGGCAAAGAATGATCAATCTGTGAGTTCTGGGTTGAAGCAGGAGAGCAACAAGAATGTTGAGACTGGCAACAAAGAACCCAAGCAAGATGAGGTGAAGTCGGAAGCATCCAATGATGTTGCTGTCAAGAAAGATGACCAAGAGGAAGTTGACCACGCAGATACTGGTTCTGTGAGTTCTAACAAATCTAAACTTGAGTCGTGCAAAACAAATGATGACTCTGCAGAATCCAAGGACGCCCGCGTGGCTTCGAATGAGGATAAACCTCCTGTTCAAGGTGCCGACGCTGATGAAGAATCCAAGTCAGTTGGTCTTGAAATTGGTGACAACATTGTCCGTGCTCGTGAACATACTCAAGAAGTAATTCATGACGTTAAAGAGGACAAAGAGCAACATCGAGACTCAGTGGACAGCGAGGATGTATCAAATGTTAATGACACTCTAAGTTTGGGCGAGAGTAATGACGGGAAAAGTTCAGTTGGAGATGATGAAGTTGATGTAATGTCAACAACAGCTAATGCCAATGCTAGTGATGAAAGTCTAATCAAACTGTCGGGATCCAAGTCGAATTCTAGTTCGCCTACTAAACTGAAGCTGAAAAAGGGCAAGAAGAAAAAGTCCAAAACGGTTTTTTAAAAGATATATCATAACTCAAAATACAAATAACCTTTGCAAATCTTTTTTGCTAGGAAATAATTCTTATTGTAAGTCTTTGTAAGTTATATTATGTCCAATGTCAATTGTTATTGTTCCTATTTTGAAACAAATTGAGTGTATCTACGCATAAAAACCTCAATTTATAAGCGCAATGGAAATGAAAGATTTCGACATCGGCATCATCCCCCTCGTTATTACCAGCATCCCCCTTTCAGACTTGCCAATTGACTTATTTATTTAGAGTTCCCCCCTATAGAAGATTGTCTTGTAGGCTTGTCCAATGAAGTAATCATTGCGTGTGTGAAACACAAAAAAGGATTACATGGCCGCTTAGTTTCCAAATCGGGTGATTTAATTACCCAAAAGAGATCTCGTGCGCTTAGTTCATAAAAAAGCTGGTTGGTTCGTTGGTTGGTTATTTTGGTGGCTTGCATGTAATATAAAAAAAGACAAGTTTTTTTTTCTTCTTGAGTACAAATAAGTGAATGTACTCAATGTCAGTCGGGTACTCGTTAGAGAAACATAAGTGGTAATGGATTGTATTGGATCTCACACTTTGCACTCATTTAAAAATAATATTTTGTAAAATAGAGTTGATATTGATCTTAAAAAGTTTCGATTTGTGGAGAATGTAGTTATCTCAACCCTTGTATAAATAAAACTTAATTTTTTCTTTGTAAAACCAAGGCTCATAACCTTCATAAACAATTTTAAAAAAAAAAATGAAATATATAACTCACAAATAGAAGTTTAACTCTTGCAGTTTTTGTTTACAAACGACAAATGTCAGGTGTCAGGTGCGTGTGTATTCAATCATGCCACAAAGACAATTGAATCAAATGTGAACTTTGAAGTAACGTGAATTACTTTCGGAATAGACAAGACATATTCAACTGCTCAAAATGATAGGTATATATATATGTATATATATAAATATATGTATTTGTATGACGTAAGTACAATCTCTTTCAATTTTGTGTATCATCGTTTATAAGTAAAATTTAAGAAAACTTCTTTAATACTTCGTTATTATTTACTATTACTATTATTTACTATTATTTACTATTATTACTATTATTATTTAGTACAAAAATAAAGGTAAATAAACAACAACAACAAAGGGGGGCCTTTTTTATTTTTGCAATGTACTCAACAAAATTGATAGTATTATAATCATCTCCTCTATCTCTCTATGTATATAGCTCAACGTTAAATGTCGAAATAATATATCTAATTACTGTATTTTGTGCTACATTACAAGGTATATTGACAATAAGTTGTTGATGATGGAAGATGAGGGTGACGATGAGGGTGATAAGATACATGCTTCTGTCTGAGTTTTATGACCGAACGTTTTCCATACGAGTCCTGGTTTTCTTTTATGTCAGTGCTTCTTTCGAAGCAATGCAGAAAAGGCTTGTAACTCCCTTCCCCCCTTCCCCCCTCCCCCCCTCCTCCTTCCTTTTTCGAAAACAGACAAAAACATGGGAAATCATTGAAATGTAACAAAGTTCAATGGGGAAGAGCTGATTTCAGCTACCTATTGTCGAATGGCCCAAGGCTTTTGGTACTCACAGGTTATACATAAGAATATCCTACTCGACATTTAAAAGAAAGTTACACACATTATACAATCTTTATTCTCGTATCATGCAGCTTGTCTCCTATTCCTTAGTAAGAGAGGGGGAGATAATCGGACATTTTAAATTTAAGAAACAGACATGGACTTCACTTATTGTTATGTTGATATTACTTACATACTTTTAGTTGCAAGTTATTGTGTAACATTATTCTCGAGAGAAATTTCATTCTTTGTTTTGCTTTTGCTTTTTCTTTTTCTTTCTCTTCAATTCAAGGCATAATATGAGAACACAAAGGTAGTGTGTCAGGTACAAGAATTATTTTACTATATATTGGTGGAGCAAACCAACTGAGAAAAGTGGCGGAAAATTGCTGAAATCAGCCCAGAACCGGCGCTATTTAAACAAGTAAGTATAAGAATATTACGTAGTATTTACGCGTCTACTTTACAAATATACATATGTACCAAGAAAGCAAATTGATGATTAGGCTTATGTAATAAGGCTTTTTTTTCCAAATAAAATAGATGGTGGCTGTTTATATGCAGTACTACTTTTATTGTATATTGTGTATACAATACACAATAGCGTACATTCAAAATTAAAACGTGTAGTACATACATACGATACATACTATACATACTAGATGTACTTTTTACAACCAAAATTTGAGAATTTCAACTTTTATAGACATACAATTCTAGCAACAACAACAACAACAACTTCATCATCATCATCTACAGCACTCTATCAACACCACTCCAACTAAACAGCTAACCTAGAAAAGGGGCAAAGACAGACACACCATCCCATCCATCCAGCACATCACCAAAACTACACCATCACAACAACAACGACAACCACCACCACCTACAACAAGAATAACAACGCACAACTTTGAAAGTGCACTTTACTCAGCTTTAGCAAACTTCAAAAGGATCTTGCTCAATATCACCCGCTAGATCGACATCCATCGCTTCCTTTAGTCACATCTGCGTAATCTATTCACAACGTCGCGTGGCTAAGGCACAGCTAACAAAGACATTTGCAACATCATTTTCACAAAAAACGTTTGTTGTTCAGCAATCAGGAGTACCCGTTGTAAGAGTTTACACAGAAGCTGATTCGTTTACAAGCACATAATTTCAAGAAGCAAAAGAGGCAACCTTGAAAAGCAACAAACAACATTCGGTCATTTGTCCTCACAGTTCGTTCCCCTCCTTTCGTTTGACAAACTTTTTACTTCCCCCTTTCATCCTGAAAGTAAAAGAAAAGATTATCGCACACTCGCTACAACCAAATCAGTTATTGTTGGCTCTTCAGTGGGTTTTCTAGTTTATTTGGACGAACCTGATCCTCCCCTCGCTTTTTCCTCTCAGATTTGCTGCAAGAGATAATCCAGCACCTTCACCGATCTATAACAGCTTACATTTGACATAATCGCTTCATTATACCTACAACATATACAATTGAGACCATGGCTAATCTACTACCTAAATCACTAAACACAAAGAATGATTTCAACGGTGCCGTAATGAATGACGAGAATGCAGAGTCTTCAACTGAGCCCACACCATCAAAGTCCACATCAAAGTCCAAAAGTTTTATAAGCCGGAAACTTTCCTCAAATTCGCTTTTTTCTCAACAAAATACTCTGAATGCTACATCGTCTCCTCCTCCACCACCACCCAAACCTGCTGCTGTTTCAATGCTGCTGCCCTCGCAGTTACTCAGGTCGTCACCGGTACCTCGCAAGAATGGCACAATATCGTCCTCCTCATCGTCATCGTCACTAAACACATCTACTTCGACGTTGCAACCGTCGTCAACGGCAAGGGCTACACCAAGGGCGTCTCCAAAACTTCATGCATTACAGCCACCCCCACCACTAACGCCGCCGTCTGCTACTTATAGACTCACGAGGTCAGGATCATCCCATGTGTCACTTTCATCGTACTCCTCCATACCTAGTGCAAGCTCGATATCGACAACTGCATCAAAGGATAGCATCAACACAAGTAGAAGTAAAAACAATGACGACAAACTCATACAAGCTTTACTAAAGCGTTATAAAAAGTTGGAACTAGCATTGCACAAGTTCAATTCGAAAAAATACAACCACAATTTAAATACAAGTAAGACTGTGAATGGGGCCATCATGAAGGGGAACTTGCTACGAACATCTTTAATTCCATTTTTGAGGAGCGCAAATCAGTTGGAACAGTTTTTTGACAAAGATTCCAAGGTCTATAAAAGTTTGACATGTGTCGTGTTGGCCATTTTAATCAAATGGTGGAATTCATTGATTGGAAATTTGAGGTTCACTGCCAACTTGTCATCGTCAACCTCCACATCGTCGTCGTCGTCGTCGTCCGGGGTAAAATCCCCTTCTTCTTCATCACTATCGTTTTCACACTCGTTGTATTCCAGTGTGGACCCAATTCATTTTACAAGCATACCAGCATCCGACAGGAATGCATATTTGGAATGTGTTTCGCGTATTATGTCACGAGATGATTGGGTTTACTACGACGAATCGAATGACTATCAAGCATTGCTCACAACAACTTTGGACTTTTGCATTGATAAATTGACTACCTTGAAAACTTTGTCTGGTCCAATGGCTGCGTTTATTGGAAAAGTGTTTGCATTCAGCTTTTTCAAGATCCCCAATGTGGCTAACGCCTTGCTATTTTTGCTCAATGTCAAACAAATGACGTTAGAATCCTGTACCAAAACTTTACCGTGCACCAATAGTCGTCAAGGTGATCGAGAATTGTACCATGTATTTCCTCAACACTTGCATCGATTTATTGACTTTAAAGGGTTAACCAGTTTGGATAAGGGACAAAAATGTTATATGAACTGCACTCCGCCACCAAAGCATCCGGTCGACGGGATCAAGAATCCAAATGGTGATTGGGTCCGACGTTGGTGTGGATCTGATTCTAGTGTATTCAATTCATTTTTACGCCATTATATTGAAATAGTGCAGAAAAGCTTACTACCAGTTATAGACGACGATGTGGTGGTTTTACTAAAGTGTCCTGGATTCAGCGTCATCTTGAGTCATATTTATCAAATTCTTCACATTGCAATCAATCGAATCGCTAGTCCTGCTAAACCACCTTTCAATGCCAATATTACCGTTAACAAAAATTCACCGCTCCCACAAGTACCAGCAATGGCTAATCGCAAAAGGGAAGACAATGCAAATGGTGCGCCACCGCTTCCTCCTCCTCCTCCTACTACTACTACTACTACTACTACTACTACTACTACTCCGCCTTCACCACCTCCGCCTCACAATTCTTTCAACTCCAATGGTCAACGACCTAAAGCACCGACTCCTCCACCTCCCCCACAGTTCAACATCAACATCAAGCAAAGCGACATGTACTACAACTCAATCATCAAAATTTTCAAAACGGTGCGTGATGTGATTTATTGTGCTACCCTTGATAACAAGTCCATTGACTGTGTGAGTGCGAGTTTGGTCAAGGCGGTTGATTTGTGTTTGATTTCGATTGCAAAGGAAGTGACGATATACGATTTCAACAAGAATGGGTTGATTTTAGGGATTGTTCACGAATTTGTCAATCACATTGAAAACAACATCTCCAATGAAGTAAATTATCTCATCAATTGGGAGTTTTGGTTAAGTTGCAGCTACATGATGATTAACCATTCCGATCACGTTCAAAGTTTGTTGAAGAATTTTGCATTTCTATTCAATGTGTGGGATATGATTCCCGATGCGTTATGCTCATTTGTCAAGCCTCAATATCTGGACTTTGAACCCATTGGTGAGATCAATGACGAAAACTACAAGTGGGTAACTAACTTGGAGGAATCCTACAAGTTGAATTTTACAAATTATCTCGTCAGCGATGAAATGTTTCGTACCATGTTTGTTCATTGGAATCCTCTAGTGAGGTCCTATTATATCAAGCTTTTGGTTTGGAGAGTCATTGGAATCAACAACTCTCAATCTTCTGCATCAATACAGGTTACTAGAAACCTACAATTCAAGTTGGACCAATCATTCGAAGCATTGCAACGATATACAATGAAGTTATGTAATGGGCAGAGTCGAGACGAATACGGATCATGTGACTGGAATAGGAAGTTGACCATCAATTTTAAACCCGATAATCCTTTGGTTAATCGAAAATTTGGAATTTTACCAGCTAGTATACGCGACGATTACCTATCACTTGGTAATACCAATTACGATAGCCAACAGTCGGATGCATATGTGGCTTCAGCTGCTGCCACTTCAGTGTCAAAGTCGGCCGAATTGAGAAAAACTCATGCATTTGAAATTTTTGATGAGGCTATATATACCTGTGCCACTGTTGCGCCAGTTTCGGGATCAAAGACGCCGCAAGACGAAGATGTTGAAGCAGATCGCAAGAGAAGTAATTCGTCATCCTCGTCGAGTTCAGTCGCGAGCTCAATTGGCTCAAAGGGGACGTCATTAGTTAGCTCTATTGGACGGTTGTTGCGTATTGTCTCCGATGATAATGGTGACCACAATAGTGGTGACAGAGGTTTGGATCTGAAAGATGAGCTAAAGTCCAGCGGTAGCCGCATTAACGAAAGTGACATTACGAGAAATTCGGCATCTTCCACTTCGTTGTCAACCACGAACTCCTTCAAATCGAGGTCTTCTTCGCCGAGCATTATGTCATTTAGATCAACGCCCACTTCTGTTACTGAGACTTCGTCTACAAAGTCGGATAATGAATCGTTATATTCTCTTGATACTATCAAGCTAAATAACTCCTTGCAAGATGCAAGTTTTGGTGCACAACAAAGAATGCAACAACAGTCCGGTGGTGAAAATAAACTGCTGACAAAGAAAAAACTGTCGCAGTTGCAGCAATCGTATAACATACAACCCCCTGAATTGGCACGATTGCCGCCAGACATCATTCGCCCCATTTTCAAGTTTGATATTATTGTTTGTCATGAATCAGTCAATGAAAAGTTTCAAGTTATTAATCACAAAAATTCGTTGCTTCGTCAACAAATGTATTACAATTCAGATGGCCGTTTGCCGTCGATATCCTCAAATGCCACCACCAGCACGTCATCTACGTTGTTGGGACCTGGCTCCAATGCTGGATCATCGAAGCCAACAGTTTTGTATTTCCCTCATCAACCACAACTTCCATACATTTCACTATTTATCAATACAGACTTGTACAATAACAAGATGGTTTACATGAATGAAGAAGAGGATGGAATTTTCCTCCAGGAGTACTATCTGCGTGATGCATCCAATTCAAGTATATCCAGCTCATCGATTTCAGGCATCGATCCGATATTGGTTGCAAGTGCAAACAAATCTCATCAAGTGAGGCAAAAGTTGCGATCAGCAACCTTGTTTCAAGACGAAACGATTTCAATGGCAACCATGGTCAATTTGGGAAAATCAATCAATGAATTAAACATAAACATTGATGAGTTTAGACGGTATTTGAGTAAACGTATTGAAGCTGATGCGTTTTACCTGAGTGCGGGATACGACTCGAATGAAGTTGGTGAGAAATATGGTTCAAATGGTGTTGGGTTCCCTGTGTTTAATGGTATTGACGAGGGAGAGGATGATGTTAGAGCCAGCGGTGGTGGCGGGCTGAGTGGTGTGCGCTCATTTACTGTGCGAGGTAAAGAATTCAACGAGTTTATTTATTTTAAACGGATCATTCCATTCTTGAGTGTTGATTCCAGCAATGAAATGAAGTTGTTGAATGCGAATTGAAGCAAGGTGGGTGGTGGTGGGTGTGTTTTTTTTGTTTTTTTTTAGAATGATTTTTTAGATATCTTTCAGTTTCTTTCGTTATACTATTGTATTTATAGAATTACTTTTATTGAATAAAGAGGTTAACGTTTTACAGGGTATTTTTTCACAATGACATTCTAAACTTTTTTTTTAACATTCATCTCAATCACGTTTCACATATATCCCTACTTCATTTTCCATCTCACTCCTTTGTGAATATTTCATCACCTTCTTGGGGTGCTTGTTGGCCTCCGTCTCGTAAATAAGATTCCATACCCAGTAATGAATGAAAAGCCACAACAAATGAGATAAAATACCAAACTGCCAATGAAATAAAACGTAAAGAAATACTTTGCCATAAAGTATCTAAACCCCGTCAATCGCATTGAGAATTGAGCATAACTTGCACTAGGGTCTATAGTGAACACCCGTAGCAGTTGGTATTGTGATTCTTCTGGACTCTGTAGGATTAAATTGAAAGTAGTTGGCGACGATGTGGAAGGAGAATTAGCAATGCGTTTGGCATTGTCCTTCTCGTTGTCGTTGTCTTTTCCGCTGTTCGTTTGTTCATTTTGTAACAACCCTGATCCGTATATGTCAAAAGCATCAATTTCAATAGTCCTATATTTCCGATAATCGATAAACATGGGTGGGACCCAATTGCGTAATGCTTGCGGGATATATTTATTTCGAATAACATGGCTCATGTTTGGATCACAGTCCAACACGAATGACCCAGACTTGAACACGGGTTTATCACTTCCATAGCTCCATCCATCTCCGGTTTCCTCAGTTGGTTTCAAATCCAGTTGTAAACTATAGTACACCGTGTGAATACTCGTGTCGTAGGCAAATTGTCGATTACAATAGAGGGCCAAGTTGAGCTTGAATGTGTATAGTGAATCCTTATCGAATGTGAATGTTGACACAGCGCCATTGATGCTTTCTTCTGATGTTATCGATTGTGGATCAATGGAGTTAGATAGATGCACATGCTTTTGCGGGAAATAACTGTTGCCAAATTGCAATGACTTCACCGGGGTTGTAATTTTGGTGTAGATAAAGTCCAATGGGATTGATGGCGAGTGGGTATCGGGGATCAATGTGGTGTAGTACACGTGGTACGCGATTAGTGAAATGGGAATGAGAATGAAGAAGGTTGCGATTGTTGATGTTAGGTAGAGCCAGGTGCGTGTTGCTGCGAGGGGCAAAGTGAACCCAAACGTCGTGACCAATTTCATAACTTCTCTGGGAAGAGGGAACGGGTGAAACACGGTGGGAGAGAAAGTGGTTTTTTCTTGGAGGGCTCTTGTACGCTTGTAGGACTGGACCGAATTGAGGAGATTTCATTTCGACTGTTGTTGAATTTTTTTTTTTTTAGAAGCGAGAGACACTATTTTTGCGCGTTGCTAACGTTTTGGTGTAAACTCCCATTGACTGGAGCAAACAACACGTAATATGTAGATAGCATTGCAGTCTTGGCTAAGTGCCATACCCTAGATTGGACTTATGAAAGAATCAATGTTCTCTCCCGATATATAAATAAAAAACAAAATACGATTTACTACTAATAACAAACAGAAATACCAATGTGCAAACCAAAATTCAAAAAAAGAAGTTCAGTATTTGATAACAAAACTGTATATAACAAATGTCAATGTGGGAATCCGTATCTACCCCGCCTCTGTAAAAAAAAAATACAACTCCCAAGATGAAAATGAGCTTATTTATGGCAATAGGAAAAGGAAAATTAACATGTTACATCATGGGAAATGGAAAATAATAAAAAATATGCAGCGTAAAGTGTATGAAATGGTATTCCTCCTGCATTCTCTTTCTCTCTCTCTCTTTCTCTCTCTCTCTTTCTCTCTCTCTCTTTCTCTCTCTCTCTTTCTCTCTCTCTCTTTCTCTCTCTCTCTTTCTCTCTCTCTCCACTATGCTTAATGTGTAGTATGACCACGATGGTACTTCAACCCATTAAGGTTTTTATACCTCTTTCCACAAACCTCGCATCGATAAGGCTTATCCTTCTCCAATGCAGAATTGTCCAAATACGGAGTGTTAGATTCGGGGTCAATTATCGATATCGTACCATCGGGGTTCTCGCGTAGACTTTGTCCTTGATGACCATGAGCACGATGGTACTTCAACCCATTTTGGTTCTTGTACGTCTTGTCACAGCCGATAACTGGACACTTGAACGGTTTATTCTCTTCTTCCATCATGTACAAGTGACGTGCTGGATCGTCTATGTACACGTCGTCGTCATCGATTTGCATGGCAGTGTCTTCTCCTTGTGATGGGCTGAGTGGAGATTGTTGATTTGTTTGTTGTCCATTGCCAAATTGCAGTTGCGATTGTTGTTGGTTTTGCTGTAGATTCAGGCCTTGTTGTTGTTCGAGTTGTTGATGTTGAAGATGGTTATGGTTGCGCTGCTGTGGATTCTGGCTCTGGCTCTGGCTCTGGCTCTGGTTCTGGTTCTGGTTCTGGTTCTGATTTTGTTGTTGTAGAAGTTGTGTATCCGTAGTGCTATTGAATTGGTAGTTGCCACCGTTATCATACCCTTTAGTTATATCGATTCCTTGATTGTGATGGTTATTGAGGAAAACGTCCGTCGTTGAAACTGTTTCCATAACATTGTGGATATTATTGTAGTTGTTACGATTGCGGTTATTGTTTAGCAAATTCTGAGTGGTATCTACTGGTGGAGATGCCAGTATGTGTGCTTCTTCATAATGTCGTAATAAATCATGCAATGTAGGCAATAGCTCGCCACAACAATTGTAATCCTTACAATAATCAGCTTCCAAATCAGGCAAGTACGAGGTTTGTTGTTGCGGCGACATGCCAGGGTGAAAGGCAGTACGGAAAGACCCCCTACGTGGATTAATCAAATTTTGGTGGTTTCCGTGCGACAGTTGCGTATTGTGATGGCTCAGTTGCTGTTGCTGCTGCTGCTGCTGCTGGTGCTGCTGGTGTTGTTGTTGTTGTTGTTGTTGTTGCTGTTGGTGATGGTGGTTGTGGTGGTGATTGTGCTGATTATTGTTTGGAATTAGAAAATTGTTCATGCCGGTGCCAATATTGACCGACATTACTTCATCTTTCAACCAAGAGCCAATGGTGACTGATCCCCACGAAATACCACCCATACCTTGTGAATGGGCTACTGATTCTCTTCTAAAACGTGAGTTGTTGAAGATCGATGGTCGATGATTGAATGTGATGTCGATCGGTTGTGGTTGGTCCTGATTGTGCTGTTGCTGCTGATGTTGCTGTTGATGTTGCTGCTGCAGTTGTTGCTGTCCAAATGATGTGCCAGACCCGGCATTGGATGAATTGTTATTTAGTGGAATATTCACAGCAGTTGCTGTTGCGGACGCTGTGCCGGAACCACCGTCAAAAATCTTGGTATTAAACATGATGTGGGCAAGTTATATGAACACAAGTTGAGCTTGTATAGAATAACGTAGTAGATAAACGGACCCTTTTATAAGATGACGATGTAACTGATTACGTCAAGGTTTTTCCCAGTGGCAATCTAGTAGGCTTGAAAATGAAACCTGAAAGAACGGAAAAATAAAAAGGGGAAATGAATAGTAAGCTATTCTGATAAGGTCCTTTGTAAATGACAAATACGGCTACTCTGTCTATAGCTCTGTTGGATGCTTGCAAAATGGTGTCTTGTACGTGGATTAGCTGCTATATTGACCCTTTGAATGTTCCCCGTACTACTAGAGTGTGCTTATTGCTGTAGTTTTGAGGATTAGTAAAAAGAAAGTACTTGGTTCTGTGTATATATGTGTGTGTGTATGTGTATGTGTATGTGAAATTTAATTTAGTAATGTGATTTGGTAGTGTACTTTTGCACAAAAATACAAAATGTAATTTTTCAGACAACATCTCATAGTTACACAAAGATACTACTCATAAATATACAATAGAGACTGATTAGGTAATACAGCATTTCTTCCTATTATCTCCTACAGAGGCAAAGACGGGGTGATGGTTTCAATGCAGAGGTAGAATAGACTTGCTAAATGAAAAGTAGTTGAAGAAGATACCCGACGAGAAGAGTCTCTGATGGAAATCAAGGGGTGCGTATATGTGCGAGAAACTCCAATTGAAGGACTACATGCACCCCAGTGTATTATATCGCAACCACTCGACTCCATCAGTGGGTATGCAAAAGGGTACCTTACACTAAAGGTTTGGTGTGTTTTCTCTGAACTTTTGAATGTGTTTCCATGCACAGTATCTAGAGATAAAAAAGCTCAGTGAAATACAAGGGTGCAGCGATTTGCGTTGCAAAGTCCATCGGTGCACAAGACAAAAACGCTTTTCCAACGTTATTATTTTTGAGAAGTTTTAAACTATTCGACGATTTATATATCCAGGAGCACTCGTCTTGAGAAGGTGTGTATATGACAGCGCTAACTTGGCGATCCTTAAGTTATATCAAACAACCCCAGCAAAAGTGCGTATTTTGTGAAACCAAACTTAACTACGTGCACTTACAGTCGAAAATTTGTCTCTGTTACGCACCTCTTAAACCTTGTAGTTGCACTTGTACTGGTACTAGCAACGTTAAAACGGACATAAGCGAAGGTGTGTTGTTACAAACCATCAAAAAGCTCTTTGAGTATCTCCTGCAATACGTCTTATATCATTCCGAAAAGTGTACAATTGGAACCGAAAATTTCTTTTTTTCTTTGGTACTGTAGTGTTCTTTGTGCTGTTAATACAAAGAGACAGTTTTGTGTGCAATGCATAACGGCGCCAGAGAGATTTACTATACACACATACGTTTCTGTTTTAGAGCTATTGGCGGATGGGGGGGATTGCTTTCCGAATGGCCCCAATGGCGGATGCAAGACTTTATTCGCAGCCAAAAATGGCTTCCGCAAGATTGAAAATCTAGTTGAGGTGTACCAGTTTTGTATCTTTGTCTGTTGACGACGGAGAGTTCTGACGTTAAATGCAGCTAATCGATCGAATTGTTGAAGTGATGTAGAAAGTGCACTGGTAGTAAACTTTTGTACATGTCATTTCGCAAGCATAATTAAGCAGTTTGTTCAGTATAGTAGACATTAATACGATGAAGGTCAACGATGTGGCGATGTTCATCTCAAATCATCTCACAACATTGGCTCTCTATTGTGTGTGCCTTTTGAAAATATCACAAAACTTGAGTGTGTGTCGGAACCAAATTTTAATTTTCCACACAAATGCCGTTTACATTGTTTTGAAGAGCCAGTCATTCTTTTGTGCACAAGACCTTATGGAGAAAACCGTCATCTTGCCAAAGTAGCTTAGATGAAACTCACCTACAAGTGGTGTGTGTGTATGGATGCACTGTTTAGTCCCCAATCACGCCGGCTACGTTAGCACATTTCCTGCAGAATCTATCGATGATATAATCTCCGCAATTAGCAAACTTAGTAATGACAGCACTGAATACTGACCACCTTCTCAATTTACTCATTCTTTTCATCTTCTTGCATTCCCAGCACAGCTTGATCTTCTTCTCTGTATTTGCTTGTTGCTATATCAAGCTGAATACCTTGAATTTTGACGAATGAATCGTCTTGTTCGAATCTATTTCCACGTCAAGGCTTGAACCCCGTCAAAGTTACAAATTTTATTACGTTTAATACTCTAAACTAAACCATCAAACAGACTTAGGATGACATTTTTGTATTTAGTTCCTTGTCTTGAAGTTTCAGCAAATTTGGGTGCAAAATTCGCAAGAAAAAAATATTGTCAACCACCAAATTGAGAAAAACGTAGTTCCGATATCATCCAGTAGACCATGCAACAACTTGCGGAAACTGGCAACCGGGGTTCTTCAAAAAACTTTATTTTTTAAAAAAGGAGAGGACAATTGAATGCATTTTGCTCATTATCTATTCTGCCGATAAAAAATAAAAAGCAAAAATAAAAGCCCAACGCGGGACTCGAACCCGCAACCTTTCGATATCATCTATAAGAGTCGAATGCTCTAGCCGATTGAGCTAGCCAGGCCGATGAAAGACAAAGCCCAACGCGGGACTCGAACCCGCAACCTTTCGATTACTAGATTATAAGAGTCGAATGCTCTAGCCGATTGAGCTAGCCAGGCTGTTTTCGAGCAGAACTTCTGCCAGAATATACTCACCGAGTCAAATTTGGTCACACATTAACTATCATTCCCATAGGCGTTATTGGTCATAATGGTTGAAATCATGTTTGCGGAGAGGAGGCCCTCAATTTGCTTCATCCATAGAGTATTAGATTGTAGAAAGGGTAGCTCGAGTTCACTTTACGGAAGAAACGGCCTGTTTAGAGATGCATTCAGTTGCAATTAAACTTAGCCGTCAGAATTAAAAGCAACAGAGTCTTCGAAGTAAAGACTTAGTCGGACCTGGACACATCAGAGGGGTGTTGGATTGTTTGTCAACAGCTGCCTCTTCTACTAGTAGAAGTGCTTGATCTGTGAATAATTTTATCAGAAAACGCATTCTCAAAAAAAAAAACATAGTAACATGCTTTTGTCGTTATTTTGAAACTCCCCAGGATCTTAAAGAGGGTTCCCGTGTTATGTCTCATCCAAAAGATAACCTTTGCAATAGTCGACACCATACGTTTTATGTAATTCTCATTGGATCATTGGAGTGGCCAAACTTTTTTGTGCAACAAAATGCAAATCCGAGACGGATTGCGAGTTAGTGCAAAATTAATTCTTGTGAAACCAGCTTATAAACCACTACAAACCCCACCATTAATTTTTTCAACAAATGTATGATTCATGACCTATACACTGAATTCTTGATGTTGTGCCTCTTTCCACCAGAAATAGTTGAAAAGATTGGGGCATTCTTACCGCAAAATGACAAACTTTCTTTGATGACAGTTAACCGATACTTTTGCCAACTCTTGGGTTCAAGTTTGTACTCGGTTATCATCTTCGATTCATCACCGCATTTGTTTGATTATGATACCAAATCACTAAACACGTTCAAACAGCAGCGTAATGTCTACAAAATCGATGGAAAGTTTTTGAGAGGCACTAGAGTCCGGTCAGTGTTTGCGCTTAAAGCTTTTACAAAGTGTGTTGTGAAATATGCCCAGTATGTAAAGGGACTCATTATAATCAACTTACCTGATATATCAGATTTGGAGGTTTTTCAGTGCTTTGAAAGGATTCTACCTTTAATGGTTCAGTTACAAACGTTTTCATGGAATCATGGCGTCCCATTTCCAGTGAGCTATTTGAAGTTTAACCAACTGATTCGAACAATGAGTGGCATTATTGAAACAGATTGTTTTGTGCAGTTTCCTTATATGATTCAAGGAGTCTACAGCAAACTCGAAGGTGTACAGAATGTTGATACCTTAACTTTGCGAGACGTGGACTTGACAGATTGGGAGCACGATTTTAGTAAAGTTGAGAACTTGACATTGGATAAATGTACATATAAAAGAGACCACCTACTTGAACAAGATTTCGCATCATTGAAGAAGTTGTCAATTGCCGTTGAAGACGACCCTTTGATAGTCAAGCTTATAACTAAACTCAATCTCGATTCATTATCTTTGAAAACAGAATCATCTTTGTATGGACTACTTTATAAACTATCCTCGCAAATCGTGCGACTAGAGCTACACTCAACATTCGACTTGACGAGCTTGAAACAGTTGTCTCGTTTAACCAGTTTGAAGTATTTGCATCTACCCATCCTTGAAAGGGATATTCTTGAAATATTGCACTTCATTCCACAATCGTTACAATTTCTCAACTTAAACGTGTTGGAAACAACTGAACGAAACAATTGTCTAATTGCAAACGAGTACTGGGAGTGTGCTGTGGATCAGAATCTTTTGAAGTTCCAAGACTTTGTTTTAGAGTACCACCGTCGTTTAAGTAACTTGGAGTGGATGATGTTTAACGGAAATAACAAAAATTATGTGTTTGAATGTGCCCAGCTGGTCATATTTAGAGACAGATTTAGCTGTTATTTCGATGAAATTGTAAATACATTGATTTGATGAGAGAGATCCAAAAGTGGGGCGGAGCAATAAAATCCTCCTAGTCTTGCGCAATCAGAGCTGTAGATCATTTGTAATAGTCCCGAAATAAAATAGAAAAAGGATCCTTCTCAAAAAGAAGTGATTCATTCCAGGGTGGAGATGACCTGTAAAAGTTATTCTCCCAACTTGCAAAAGTGTTCTCGCGTGCCATTTTAGACTGAACGTAACCGAATACACACAGGGTACACGAGAAGGCATTAAGCTTTGGTGATAATTGGGGAAAAGAAGAAGAGAAAAAGGGAAAGAGCTGGGTGTTGATTTGAAACTGGTGAAAAATTTTTTCTTGTAAAGTGAGCCAATGTCGTGTCGTATTTTTGGGAGTAGAAAAAAAACGCGACACACTCTACAGCTCAACAAAAGAAGTTTAATACACAAAACACGACTGCGTAATTTAATTTTTTTTTCTGTTGTGTTGTGTTGTGTTGTGTTGTGCTCGTTGTTGTTGTTGGCTGCAATATTTTGTTGGGATGGGATTACTGGAAGTGTTGTATCCCTGATAACCTCTAACAACACCTTTTCCTCTCTTGATAGACAAGATGTTCACACTCAGAGAGTAGCAACATACTTCTGAGCTCTCTGTTTCCTCATTTATCTAAGTTCTATTTTTTTTTTTTTTTTTTTTTTTCACACTCTCCCCCATTACCCTTTCCCTTTTTTCAACAATTTGTCTCTCGGACTACAAAATTTTTGTGTAACCATCAACATACCGATTTATCCAACTAAAAAGAAAAATTATTTTTGGGTAGATGGCTACGAGTAGAATTAAATATATAGCCCATCTTTTTCTTGAATAAATCTGGATAGCTTCTCATAATTTCTCCCCTCCCCCCTCTTCTTCTTCAACAACGTACACCTCACTATGAAGCCGGAAATTGAACAAGAATTATCACATACTTTGTTAACAGAATTGTTGGCTTATCAATTCGCTTCCCCAGTTAGATGGATCGAGACTCAAGATGTCTTTTTGAAGCAACACAACACTGAGAGGGTCATTGAAATTGGGCCATCACCAACTTTGGCTGGTATGGCTTCAAGAACTATCAAGGCAAAATACCAATCATATGATGCAGCCTTGTCTTTACAACGTCAAGTTTTGTGCTACTCTAAAGATGCAAAGGAAATTTACTACACTCCTGATCCAGTAGAGCCACCAGCTGCTGAAGAACCAAAGACAGACTCAAGTAATGACGCTGCACCACCAGTAGCAACAGCAACAGCTACCACTCCACAAGCAGTTGCTCCGTCCGCAGGTCCAGTTGAATCTATCCCTGACGAGCCAGTCAAGGCTTCCTTGTTGATCCACGTGTTGGTTGCTCAGAAATTGAAGAAACCATTGGACTCTGTTCCAATGTCAAAAGCAATCAAGGATTTGGTGAATGGTAAGTCTACTGTGCAAAATGAAATTTTGGGAGATTTGGGTAAGGAATTCGGGTCTACTCCTGAAAAGCCAGAAGACACGCCATTGGAGGAATTGGCAGAACAGTTCCAAGATACATTTTCCGGGTCTTTGGGAAAAACTTCCACCTCATTGATTGGTAGATTAATGTCCTCAAAAATGCCCGGTGGATTTTCCATTACTACAGCTAGGAAGTATTTGGAGTCCAGGTTTGGTTTGGGACCAGGTAGACAAGACTCCGTTTTGTTAACGGCTTTGTGCAATGAGCCAGCTAGCAGGTTGGGTTCAGAAGCAGATGCTAAATCCTTTTTGGATTCAATGGCTCAAAAATATGCAAGCCATGCTGGAATTTCATTGTCGTCAGCTTCGGCAGGAGCAGCAAGCTCCGGTGCAGGCGCAGCAGTTGTTGATAGTGCTGCTTTGGATGCATTGACAGCAGAAAACAAGAAATTGGCTAAACAACAATTGGAAACATTAGCAAGATATCTCCAAGTCGATTTAAGCAAGGGTGAAAAAGCATTCATCAAAGAAAAAGAGGCAACTACAGTCTTGCAACAAGAGTTGGATTTGTGGGAAGCAGAGCACGGAGAGTTTTACGCCAAGGGTATCAAGCCAGTATTTTCCCCATTGAAATCGAGAACTTATGACTCTTATTGGAACTGGGCAAGACAAGATGTATTGTCAATGTGGTTTGATATCATTTTTGGTAAATTGACTTCTGTTGATAGAGAAACAATCAACCAGTGCATTCAGATTATGAATAGGGCAAACCCAACTTTAATCAAATTCATGCAGTACCATGTTGACCTTTGTCCTACTTATAGAGGAGAAACTTACAAATTGGGAAAGAGATTGGGTGAGCAATTGATTGAAAACTGTAAGCAAGTTTTGGGTCAAAGTCCAGTTTTTAAAGATGTCAGCAGAATCACTGGTCCAAAAACCACCGTCAGTGCTAAAGGTGATATTGTTTACGAAGAAGCAGAGAAGGAATCGGTTAGAAAGTTTGAACAGTACGTTTTTGAAATGGCACAAGGTGGCTCAATGACAAAGATGAAACAGTCAACAATCCAAGAAGATTTGGCCAGAGTTTACAAAGCAATTTCAAAGCAAGCGTCAAGGGACAGCAAATTGGAATTACAAAAAGTGTATGATCAATTGTTGAAAGTTGTTGCCGGATCCACCGAGATCGAAACAGAGAAAACTACTCAAGACGCCTTGGAAATTCCAACAGGAGCCAACACACCAACAGAAGACGACGAATTATCAACTGCTTCTGATGATGATGAAATTGCTTCCTTGCCCGACAAGACTTCCATTATCCAACCTGTCTCCTCAACTATTCCAAACAAGACGATTCCATTCTTGCATATTCAAAGCAAATCCGAAAGTGGAAACTGGGAATACGATCGTAAGTTGTCATCTGTGTATTTGGATGGCTTGGAATCCGCCGCTATTAATGGTTTAACTTTCAAGGACAAGTACGTATTGGTTACTGGAGCTGGTGCTGGATCCATTGGAGCAGAAATTTTGCAAGGCTTGATTAGCGGTGGTGCTAAAGTAGTTGTCACCACCTCACGTTACTCCAAAAAGGTTACAGAGTATTACCAAAACATGTATGCTCGTTATGGTGCTGCTGGATCCACCTTGATTGTTGTTCCATTCAACCAAGGTTCCAAACAAGATGTCGATGCATTGGTCGAGTACATATACAACGATCCAAAGAAGGGTGGTTTAGGTTGGGACTTGGATGTTATCATTCCATTTGCAGCAATCCCAGAAAATGGTAATGGAATTGACAATATTGACTCAAAGTCTGAATTTGCTCACAGAATCATGTTGACAAACCTTTTGAGGTTGTTGGGTGCAGTGAAAGCCAAAAAGACAACAGATACCAGGCCAGCTCAATGTATCTTGCCCTTGTCTCCAAACCACGGTACATTCGGTTTCGATGGATTGTACTCTGAGTCAAAGATTTCGTTGGAGACTTTGTTCAATAGATGGTATTCTGAAGATTGGGGAACCAAGTTGACCATTTGTGGTGCTATCATTGGTTGGACAAGAGGTACTGGTTTGATGAGTGCAAACAACATCATTGCAGAAGGTATTGAAAAGTTGGGAGTCAGAACCTTTTCCCAAAAGGAAATGGCTTTCAACATTTTAGGTTTGTTGACTCCTGAAATTGTCAACTTGTGTCAAGAAGAGCCGGTTATGGCAGATTTGAATGGTGGTTTGCAATTTATTGACAACCTTAAAGAATTCACTTCCAAGTTGAGAAATGAATTGACCGAGACTGCGGATATTAGAAGAGCTGTTTCAATAGAATCGGCAGTCGAGCAAAAGGTTATCAATGGTGAAAATGTTGATTTAAACTACAACAAGATTACTGTTCAGCCTAGAGCAAATATGAAGTTCGACTTCCCAACCTTGAAATCTTATGAAGACATTAAACAAGTTGCTCCGGATTTGGAAGGTATGTTGGATTTGGAAAATGTTGTGGTGGTTACAGGATTTGCTGAAGTTGGTCCATGGGGTAACGCAAGAACGAGATGGGAGATGGAATCCAAAGGTGAATTTTCCCTCGAAGGTGCTATTGAAATGGCCTGGATTATGGGTATGATCAAGTACCACAATGGTAATTTGAAAGGCAAGCCTTATTCTGGATGGATTGACGCAAAGACACAAACTCCAATTGATGACAAGGATATCAAGGCCAAATACGAGGAAGAGATTTTGGAACATTCTGGTATAAGATTGATTGAACCTGAGTTGTTCAACGGTTACGATCCAAAGAAGAAGCAGATGATCCAAGAAGTTGTTATCCAACACGACTTGGAACCATTTGAGTGCTCTAAAGAGACTGCTGAGCAATACAAACACGAACATGGTGACAAATGTGAAATTTCCGAGATTGAGGAAAGTGGTGAATACAGTGTTCGAATTTTGAAAGGTGCAACTTTGTTTATTCCAAAAGCATTGAGGTTTGATAGATTGGTGGCTGGTCAAATCCCCACTGGTTGGGATGCGCGTACTTATGGTATTCCAGAAGATACAATTAACCAAGTGGATCCAATCACTTTGTATGTTTTGGTTGCTACAGTTGAAGCGTTGTTGTCAGCAGGTATCACTGATCCATACGAGTTTTACAAGTACGTCCACGTTTCTGAAGTTGGTAACTGTTCAGGTTCAGGTATGGGTGGTGTTAGTGCTTTGAGAGGAATGTTTAGAGACAGATATGCCGACAAACCAGTTCAAAACGATATTTTGCAAGAATCCTTTATCAACACCATGTCTGCATGGGTCAATATGTTGTTGTTATCTGCTTCGGGTCCTATCAAGACACCTGTGGGTGCCTGTGCCACCGCTGTGGAGTCTGTTGACATTGGTATTGAGACCATTTTATCTGGAAAGGCCAAGGTTGTTATGGTTGGTGGTTACGACGATTTCCAAGAGGAAGGTTCGTACGAATTCGCCAATATGAATGCTACATCGAACGCAATTAATGAATTCAAGCACGGAAGAACACCAAAGGAAATGTCAAGGCCAACTACAACCACCAGAAATGGGTTTATGGAGGCTCAAGGGTCTGGTATTCAAGTTATTATGTCTGCTGATTTGGCAATAAAGATGGGTGTTCCAATTCACGCCGTTTTGGCAATGTCAGCAACAGCAACAGACAAGATTGGAAGATCAGTCCCTGCTCCAGGTAAAGGTATCTTGACCACTGCTAGAGAACACCATGGAAACTTGAAATACCCATCGCCATTGTTGAACGTCAAGTACAGAAAGAGACAATTATCAAAGAGATTGGACCAAATCAAGTCCTGGGAGGCTTCAGAACTCAACTACTTGCAAGAAGAAGCTGAATTGGCAAAAGAAGAATTTGGTGAAGAGTTTTCCGAGGCTGAGTTTATGAGAGAAAGAACAGAGGAGATTTACAGAGAGTCTAAAAGACAAGTTGCAGATGCAAAGAAACAGTGGGGTAACTCCTTCTACAAGTCTGATCCTAGAATTGCTCCATTGAGAGGGGCCTTGGCAACGTTCAACTTGACAATCGATGATATTGGAGTAGCTTCATTCCATGGTACTTCGACCGTTGCAAATGACAAGAACGAGTCAGCAACCATAGACAACATGATGAAACATTTGGGTAGATCTGAAGGAAACCCAGTGTTTGGTGTGTTCCAAAAATACTTAACTGGTCATCCAAAAGGTGCTGCCGGTGCTTGGATGTTGAATGGTGCTATTCAAATCTTGGAATCTGGTATTGTGCCTGGTAACAGAAACGCTGATAATGTTGACAAGGTTTTGGAGCAATACGAATATGTCTTGTACCCATCCAGGTCCATTCAAACAGACGGTATCAAGGCTGTTTCTGTTACTTCTTTCGGATTTGGTCAAAAAGGTGCACAAGCTATTGTCGTTCATCCTGATTACTTGTATGCTGTATTGGACAAGTCAACTTATGAAGACTATGCCAAGAGGGTTACAGCCAGAAACAAAAAGACCTACCGCTACATGCACAATGCAATCACAAGAAACACCATGTTTGTTGCCAAGGATAAAGCTCCTTACGCTGATGAATTGACTGCAGATGTTTACTTGGATCCATTGGCCAGGGTTTCACAAACAAAGAATGAATTTGCCTTTTCAAAGAAATCAATTCAGTCAGATAAATCGTATGTGAGCGACATCTCCAATGCCACTGCCAAAGCTTTATCATCTTTGAACAAGTCATCCAAGGGTGTTGGCGTAGATGTTGAATTGTTGTCAGAATTGAACATTGATAATGAAACCTTTTTGGAGAGAAACTTTACTCCAGAGGAGATCAAGTATTGCCATAGTTCGGCCAACCCACAAGCATCATTCACCGGAACCTGGTCAGCCAAAGAGGCCACTTTCAAAGCTTTGGGAGTTAAATCTCAAGGTGGTGGCGCAAGCTTGAAGGAGATTGAAATTGTTAGAGATGGAAATGGTGCACCAAAAGTTGTATTGAATGGAGACGCCAAATCAGCTGCAAATGCCGCAGGAGTGAAGAGTGTGAGTGTCTCAATTTCTCATGACGATTTCCAAGCTACTGCTGTCGCCCTTAGTGAATTTTAAACGTGTATAGAGAAGTGTTGAATATATTGACGTGTTTTAGTAACTTGAAGAATGTATTTTGCTAATCGGTGTAAGCAAAAGAAAAAAAAAAATAAAAAAAAAAAAATATTAGACAATCAAAAAATTCAAAGTACCAACAAAATAATTGATCTTGTTTTTTAAAAGAGAAAAACAAACAGAGTTGACTGATAAAATCATTAACCAATCTTCCATCATACTTGACAGTTCCCAATAGATGACCACCGAGAAGCAAGAAGAGACGGCGAATGGGTCTAAAGAAGAGCCAGTCGAGTCGAAGGAATTGGAGCTGGCTGTTGATCATTCTCAAGGGAAGGGGGACAGGAACACTAATGGCGAGGCAGAACATCCTGACAATAAACATCCATCAGACAAGGCCAAACCTGATGGATACGTTGAAGGCAGTACAACAGAACAGGACAAACCAAATGGACAAGGCGTCGTGGACGAATCCACTGATGGTGAGAAGCCGACACAAATTGATAACGATTCAAATGCAAACAATTTTGAACACACAATTACACAATCGACGCCAGTAGATACACCCGTGAGTAGTCCGGCGGTTCCTCAATCTCCTGCAAGCTCAAACCATAGACGACAAATCTCAGTTTTGTCAATTGCTTCCAGTGCAACTGTGGACAACTCGCAGATCTTCAAAAAGAGCTTTGATTCAATTTTGGCGTCAAAGGAAGCTAAAAAGAACGAGCAATTGAAAGCTTCGGTTCAGCGTGCACTTGATTCGCTAAGCACCGCGGAAGAAAAAGAACCGTATCTTATATTCAATGCACTAAAGGCTTGCTGTGATACCAGTAGCATTGAGTTGAAATCAAAAGCGGTTGATTTGTTTGCAAAGTTATTTGATTACGCCCAGTTTGATGATGCTGCAGAGAAAAAGAAGCTTACTGATGAGTCGGTTAGTGTAATATCGTCTTGTTTTGAAGGTGAAGGAACGGACCCGGAGTTGGAATTGCAGGTAGTTCGTGCATTGATGCACTCAATACTTTTGATGCCTTGTCATGGAGCCTCCTTGTTGCAAGCTGTGAGACAAATTTATAATGTATTTATTTTTTCTTTGACGGCTAGGAATCAAGCTGTTGCTCAAGGAATCTTGACTCAAGTGATTGGAGCAATTTTTACTAGAGTTGAGGAGTCGAGAAAATCCCGAAGTCAAAGTGCAAATACTTCAAAGTTGAATTTCGAGTCAACTGAAAATGTGAGTCTTCCAGAGGATAAAGAAGAGGAGAGATTGACGCTATCACAATTAGAGCGGATCAATGACTCCTTAAACGACAATGACAGAGTTAATGAAGCTAGTAGCGCTACAGAGGATGATCAGGATTTGGAAGTAAAAGATGCATTTTTGGTATTCAGAGCCATGTGCAAGCTTTCTATAAAGACATTGGACTCCACAACGGTTGATATGAAGTCGCATTCAGTGAGATCTAAACTTTTGTCGTTGCACATAATCCACACAATTCTTAAAGAGCATATCGAAATCTTTTTGAGTCACGACGTGGTTATTTTATCGCCAAATGCAAATGAGAAAGTTCGCTTAATAAATGCCGTGAGACAATATATCAATTTAGCATTATCCAAGAACGCCGCATCCGATTTAGCTCCGGTATTTGAATTATCTTTGGAGATCTTTTGGATCATAATCTCGAATTTGCGATCCGAATTCAAAAGGGAGATTCCTGTCTTTTGGGATGAAATTTACTTTCCAGTGGCTGAAATGAAAACATCAAGTGCGCACCAGAAACGTTATTTGTTGGCAATAATCGAGAGGATTTGCAACGACTCGAGGTGTATCATTGAATTTTATTTAAACTACGATTGTGATAGTAATATGCCCAACATGTGCGAGAGAATCATTGATTATTTGACCAAACTTTCCTTGCAACGCGTAGAGGTTACACCTCAACAAAAGTACGCCTTTAGAGAAAATAGAAGGAGTGGTATTGCAGTTTATGACGTTGGCAAAGTGGCAAATCTAACCAGTAGTACAATGTCATCCAAGCCACCAGAGCCAACTGTTTATTCGTTGTTTCCTTTGGAGTATGCCTTGAAAATGACATCAATAAGTTGTTCCGTTGCCTTCTTGCGCTCCTTACACTCATGGGCACAAAAGGGTATGCTGAATCCCAATAAGTTGAAAATCATGGAACAAGGTAGTGAGTCGTATTTGTCGTTGAATCGCAACCGTTCTGACTCAAATAATACGTCACTGAACGTTACAAGAAATGCCTCTTTTGTCAATGGTGATGATTTGAATAAGACAGAAACCGACAAGATTGAACAGTTTGAAAATCAAAAGCAACGGAAAAAGGCATTACTTGAAGGAATAAAACAATTCAATCAAAGGGCCAAAAAGGGGATTAGGTATTTCTTGGACAAGGGTTTCATCAAGTCAGACACCCCTGAGGACATTGCAAGCTTTCTTTTAGAAACTGATGGTCTTGACAAGGCTACTATTGGTGAGTACCTTGGTGAAGGTGATGATAAAAACATTGCCATCATGCACGCATTTGTAGACCAAATGGATTTCGAAAATGCAGAGTTTGTTGACTCAATGAGGCGATTTTTGCAATCCTTTAGATTACCAGGAGAAGCACAAAAGATTGATCGATTTTTGTTAAAGTTTGCCGAACGATTTGTCAAGGGAAATCCACGCATGTTTGCAAATGCAGACACAGCATACATTTTAGGATACTCGGTAATCATGCTAAACACTGACCTTCATTCGCCACAAGTGAAGAATAGAATGACTCTTGAAAATTTTGTCATGAACAACTCAGGTATTGATGATGGAAAGGATTTGCCTAAGGAGTTGCTACAGAAGATCTATGACGAAATTTTGAACAATGAGATCAAGTTACAATCAGAACAACACGCAGCACTTATCGCAGGTGATTTACAAATTGCTCCTTCCTCTCAGTCTATTGGATTTTTTGGAGGGCGTGATCTAGCACGTGAAGCTTACATGTTTGCGTCAAAGGAGATGTCAACCAAGACCGAGAAATTGATGAAGAATTTAGGAAAGAAAGCGAAAGTTGATGACCTGGATGTCATGTTCTACGCGGCCACTAGTGTGTTGCATGTGAAGTCCATCTTTGATACGTTGTGGATGTCCATTTTAGCTGGATTAACACCTCCTTTCAAAGAATATGACGACGATGTGGTGACAAGGGCTTGTTTAGAGGGAATCAAGTTGTCAATACGAATTGCTTGCATGTTTGATTTGGATTACGCACGAGCCTCATTCATTGGTGCGTTGGTACAGTTTCAAAACTTGAGCAACTTTGAAGAAATGAAGCCAAAGAATGTGGATGCCATTTATATAATGTTGGACTTGGCAGTTACCGAGGGTGACCATTTAGGTTCGGCATGGAATCAGATATTGACATCAATCTCACAAGTTGAGCGATTACAGTTGATTGCGCAAGGAGTGGATAAAGATTCAATACCCGATGTAACAACTTCGAAGCTTATCACTCGAGGATCAACCGACAGTACGAGAACAAGCACGAGCACTGGATTCTTTAGCTCTTTCACTTCACAAACGCCTGCTCAATCAGCCGCAAACAAGTTTCATAACCAGCATCTTTCTCCCGAAGTTGCAAGATTATTGGTGAAGACAGATTTAGAAGTGGCTATTGACAAAGTCTTTACCAATAGTGCCAAATTAAATGGAGGCAGCATCGTTGACTTTGTGAAAGCTTTGTCAGAGGTTGCTAGGGGAGAGATTGATTCATCGGGACAAAGCTCCAACCCGCGAACATTTTCACTACAGAAATTTGTCGACATTTGTTATTACAACATGAATAGAATTCGGTTGGAGTGGTCGCAACTTTGGGCTACAATGGGCGAAACTTTCAATGCGTTGGGATGCCATTCGAACCCATCGATTCTGTTTTTTGCATTGGATTCATTAAGACAACTTTCAATGCGATTTTTCGAAATTGAAGAGTTGGCAAATTTCAAGTTCCAAAAACAGTTTCTCAAACCTTTTGAGTATGTGATTATACATAATCGATCATTGGAAGTGAAGGACATGGTGCTTGAGTGTATCAATAATATGATACTAGCCAGAGCATCTCAAATTAAATCAGGATGGAAAACCATTTTCAATGTTCTTACAGCTGCTGCAAAGGAAAACAAGGAGACTTTGGTGATGAAGAGTTACAAAATGGCTATTTGGATCAATAAGGAGTACGTTGAGGAAGTAAAGAGGCAGGACTCGTTTTCCGATTTGGTTATTTGTTTCACCACGTTGACCAAGAATGAAAGATATCAGCGGGTAAGTTTGTTGTCATTGGATGTCTTGTCCAGATTGATTCATGAGATTGCTCAATACAGTTTGTTTGATAAGGAAAATGACAATGCTGAACATCCCGATCGGAGTGAGTCGTTGAAAAAGCTTTGGTTCCCCATTTTGTTTGGCTTTTACGATGTCATCATGACTGGCGAAGAGTTGGAAGTGCGATCAAGAGCGTTGAAAAGCTTGTTTGACTTGATTATGGAATATGGAAAGTATTTTGATCAAAGTTTTTGGGATTTAATCAGTCGCGAGTTGTTATTCCCAATGTTTCAAGTTTTGGGAACCCATTGGGAATTGAGTTTGGATGAATTGAATGACAAATTGTCAGTGTGGCTATCTACAACGCTCATTCAAGCTTTGAAGAGCATGATTAATTTGTTTACACATTATTTCACGGAATTGAGTCACATGTTGAGTGATTATTTGAAGTTGATAATATCTTGTATCTGCCAGGAAAATGATACTATTGCAAGAATAGGGCGCGAGTGCCTCACCACTTTGTTGATTGACAACTCGGCCAAATTTAGCATTTCACAATGGGATGAAATTTCCGAAGCATTTGCTAGCTTGTTTGAGCTCACCACTGCTAAAGAGCTTTTCACCTTGGATCCGTTATATGAAGGACGAGAGGATGGTCTATCTATTACTGGAAATGGAGAGGACGATTCTCAATTGAAGAAAGAGCTACTTGATGATAATGAGGTTAGATTGAAAAAGTCTCGAGAAAAATCGTCGATTGTTGTGAAAAGTGTTTTGCAGTTGCTTTTGATCCAAACTTTGTCTGAGCTATTTGAAAATGATTTATTTTACGACAACATCCCATTTGAACAATTGATGAAGTTGGCTGACTATTTGAATGGCTCTTATCTGTTTGCCAAATCCTTCAATGACGATTATGATTTGAGGGTTAGATTATGGAATGCGGGTGTAATTGAGCGCTTGCCGAACCTTTTGAAGCAGGAGTCGTCATCGTCGGCAGTTTACATCAACATAATGTTCCGTTTGTATTGTGATGACGACAAAGCATCACCTGGAGACAAAAAGACAATTTTGACAAAGTTGCACGCATTGTGCGTGTCGATTGTTGAAAATTATTTGAAGTTTGATGAGACCAATCAACAAAGAAATATCAGTACTTGGAAGCCAGTTGTGATTGAGATATATGAAGGGTACGTCGAGTTGGATGATGATGATTTCAAGAAGTATGGTCCTGTAATGTACAGGTTGGTTTTGGAGTTGATGTCAAAGAATATGGCAAGTGATTTAAGAGTTGCAATACGAGTATTTTTAGCAAGGATCGGAGTTGATTTTGTTAAGATTGAAGATTCGAAATAGACCAGAGGCGATGATTAAACGGGAAGATTTTTAGCTTGTATGATAGAGCAAGACTCTGGTGATTCTATGTAGCTGGGCACACAGCGTCCGACATTGCTTGCATATGTACCCCCACCTCCCTTCTTACAAGATCATATCCTAATGTAGAAAAGCATCACCGGTAGCGCCGTAAAAGAATTGTTCTGCATATAAGCGCAAATTCAGAAGTCACAGAAAATTTTCATTTCTTTCAACAAACTTCTCTCTCTCTCTCTCTGTATCTCTGTCTTTCATTGAACAACAAAAAAAATTTTTTTCTTCCATTGAAATTTTCAAAAAAAATAATAAAAAAAAAAAAAAAAGAGTTTCAATTTGCACTCCTTTTATTGAAATAGCAAACGATTCCCAGTTATATTGACATTATGTCTTTTCAAAACAAAGTATGTTGTTTCTTTCTTGCTCTTTTTTTTTTCACTGTTTCTGTGTTTGTTGGGCTAGAATTGTGTGTCAATTGACTTTGCAAAGTGAGAGAGCAATGTTTGGAGAGTTATTTTCTTTCTCTTGGTCAGCCTTGTGTGTGAGTCCAATTTGAGGGTAGCAAAAGTGTTTGGTCATTCTCAGGGGTGATTCCAAAATGACACTGTGCCAATCTGCCTTAGATAACTTATCAAGTGGATACGGTTTGCAATTGACCATACTGGACAAGAGGGCAATTTGCTCTCTCGTGTGATCACGCTGCCAATTTGCGCTCGACGAAAGTCAAGTTTTCCTAATTTATCTCGTCCAATTTTCTTCCCCTCAGATAATAAACAACAAACTTCAAACAAAGGCGTAATAGCACAGTGTTACTAACTTATTCTACCAGAACTTGTACGACTTGTTGGGTAACGACGTTGAGGAAGACAACACAGCCAGTCTCCCAATCAAAGAGGTTGTAAAGAAGAACACTTCCTCCAAGAAGTCTGACGTTCCTCCACCATCAGCTGACCCTACTAAAGCTAAGAAGAAGTCCAAGCCAACTGGTAATGAAGGTGCTTTGAAAACCAAGAACAGTAACAAGGATGTCCCACCTCCACAATCTACTGCTACCAAACACCAGAAGAAACCATTTGACCGTCACTCAAGAACCGGAAAGACCGACTCCCAAAAGAAGATCAAACAAGGTTGGGGTAACTCTGAGTCTAGAGAATTGGAAGGTGAAGTTGAAGGAACCGAGGATGCTGAGCACGATTTGGTAGAAGAAGCCGAAGAGGAAGTTGACACCACTCCAAAGAAGTCTCTTCAAGAGTACCTTGCCGAACAAGAGCAAAAGCAAAAGGAGTTGGACGGAGCTAAGAAATTGAGAAAAGCCAACGAAGGTGCTGAAGAGAAATGGAATTCTGAAGAAAAGATTGAAAAGACTCAAGAAGCTTACTTTGCTTCTACTCATCAAAAGAAGACCAAGTCCAAGGCCCCAAAGGAAAAGGTTTTCTTGGAAGTTGAAACCGTTTTTGCCGATGAGCAACCACAAGAACCAAGAGGTGGCTTTAGAGGTGGAAAGAGAGGAGGATCAAGAGGTGGAAGCAGAGGTGGAAGCAGAGGTGGCAACAGAGGTGGTCTCAGAGGCGGAAAATCTTACAATGAAAGAGATTTCCCATCTTTGTAATTGACTTTTTTTTTGAAAGTGTATATTTTTATATTTAAATTGCAATGAAACCGCCATGTCATTTCATCGAGTGACTCTTTATATGTAGATGTGCTACTGAAGGCCGACTTGCTGCAACAACCACCCCCCTCCCCCAGTGCGGTGTGCTTCGCAGAGGTAGACCGAAGGGATCCAACGAACTCTTGTTAGGGGGGGGGAAAGTGAGTCCCGCTAGTTGCACTGTGTACTCGACAATTTGTCATATGCTCACCAAAAGTCCAGGCTGCACCAAAAGTGCGATTTTATCACATCCCCACACTCATTTTTCTTTTTCTTTTTCTTTTTTTTTTCCTTCTTTCGATTGCGATTACTTTTTAAAGACAGATCTGTGGCCTACAAGATATGTCGAAAGAGGAAGAAGAGTATCAAGAAGTTTTCCCTCCGGACTCTTCGAGCGAGTCCTCATCGAAACAGCATTACCGAGACATCGCACTTGGTTTAGTGAACAGCGCGGTACAAAGGGGTAACAACATTGCTCAACAAAAACCCGGAAGCAGGAGAGCTCTTGCTGCAAGTACTGCAACCACTCTTTTGGAAATGGGGATGGAAAGGTTCAACACCAATAATGGCAGGGGATTGCCATCGAACTTGACGGCTGAGGATATTCAACATATCGCATCCATGCCCGATTCAGCCGAGGATAACGAAAGCAAGGCGTCATCGTCCACTAATAGCCACTTTGCTGATCGTTTAATTGAAAAATTGCTCAAGTCTACTTTGCCAGAAGATATTCCGGAAAGAGAGATTTTTGAAAAACGGTTACGTGATCCTGAAAGAAACAAAAGACCTGGATTATCAATTGGAACTTTGGCATCGAATGTGAAGAAATTGGCCAGTAAAATGTCAAACTTTTTTGCACTACAGTATGCATTGATATATGTCATTACTTGGAAACAGCCAACAAAGACATTGAGTGTTCTTGTGCTCTATACTGCAGCCTGTCTTTGGCCACATTTAATCATTGCATACCCTCTAATTTTTCTTCTTTTTGGTGTTCTTATACCTGGGTACGTTCACAGGCACCCACCAAGACGCCTCGATTTGATTAAAGTAAAGAAAAGAGGACAATCCTTGCTCAGTTTTTTCAACTCCACCTCCGAGTCTAGTATTGTGGAAGATATGGTTGATGAAGACTACCTAAAGGAGGATGCGGAGATTGCGTCGTCGGGGTACTCAATATCTGACGAGGCATCCGAAATCACCATCTCGTCGACTCAAGTGAACTCTAGTGAAGCGAAAAGTGGCACTGGTCAAAGGGAGAAGAAAGAGACTGCAAAACACAGAAAATCCAATTTGGACTTGTTGATTAATTTGCGAGATTTCCAAAACTTGACTTCAGACTTGATCAAAGGCATGGATAAAGGAGAGCAATTTTATTTCGAGACTGCTGGATTCAAGGATGAAAGATTGTCAACTTTTATATTTTATGGTGTTTTACTTGCCACTTTTGCCACTTTGTTTCTTGGTCAATTCATTCCATGGAGAGCAATTTTTATCCAATCCGGTTGGGTAGGATTAATTTTGTGCCATCCAAAGGCCAAAAAGTATTTGGTTGACATGAGCAATACCAGGAAGGCTCGGGCAAGAAAAGCAAAAGAGGACAAGGAGGCTGAGTTGAGCCAGCATCCAGAACTGCAAGGCTCAGACGAGCTGCAAACCAAGTCAACTTTCATTGATGATCTTCTCAATGACGGGAAAAAGTTTGATCGTGATGACATCATCGTTGACGATGCTCCAGAGGTGAGGATAGTGGAAGTATTCCAATTGCAAATCAAAAGCATTTTGAAACACGACTGGTCTTTCTATCGGTACTCCACCACCATGTACGACACAGAGAACAAAACCAGGACTTCAGGGAAGAGACCTCAGGGAGTTGAGTACTTGTCAGAGGTGCTACCACCCCATGATTGGAAATTCGATATGGGTTTTGTTAACAAGTGGGTGTTGGATACCAATCCAAAAACGTTTATTGAGGAACGAAACTTGAAACCAGACTTGTTTATAGTCAAGGATAATGAGCAGGAAGGGTGGATATACGATAACATGGAGGGAGTCGTGCATCTGGACATCGTTTATGAGTTTAGAAGACGGAGACTATATAGGGAATGCTATAGGTATGCTAGGCCACACAAAAGGCCCAAAAGCGACTAAATAGGAATAAAACATGCCTTTCTTCCTTCTTTCAGTCATCTTCGACCCCTGGCATTCCAAAGAACAATAATTTGTAGCAAGGTGATTGTGGATCGGTGAAGTGGTCATATGAGTTATCTGTCTGTGTTCCGCAATTGAAGCAGAAACATGTAAGACACTCACTGCACTTCATTTTATTACATCCTTCAAATTTCTCAATGACAGCACCACATCCAGGACATTCTTTGAGATCGGTACCCTGCTTCAACATTTGTTCAAACAACTTGTCCATAGTGTACTCATCAACAGCTTTCAATATCTTATTTCGGCCATATTTTGCATTCAAAATCTTCTTCTCATGCGATCCCTGTGCCATGTGGTTATACGCTTCCAAATCATCTATTGCTATTCCTCCATACTTTCCATTATCGTCTCCAACTCTTACGCATGCCTTGAACCTTGCATGATAAGATTTTCGACAATCATTGCAGAATGCATACTTGCATTTTGGACACATGACCAACTTTTCATTCAAATCTTCTCGAAAAATAACCTCATCACAACCGATTCGAGGACACTCAACGAGCCTGCTCGGTAAAAGCTTGCCAATAAATTCATACTGCGATTTCTTGAAAAGGCTCAAATATCGCTGTATGGATTCAGCGGTAAGCAATTTTCTAAGCTTACTTGTTGAAACAGGTGGGGTGAACATCTTCATCACCATTTCTCTCACTCCTTCATCTTTTAATGTCCAGGTTTCCATTTTCATCAAATTATTTCTTGTGGTGATGTGGTTCTTGGTGCAAGTGTACTCTGGACAATGTACTTTATCTACTTCTCCTTGCGCTATATAGCAATCATTGCAGAATACGTGTCCACAGTCATCAAACTGTGTGCACCTCAGCCCCTTGTGTCCAACTTGACATATTTCACAATCAAACGTTTGACTGCAAAACTTTTTTTCCCTGGTTCTGAGATCAAATTCCACAATGTCATTGTATTGATCGAAATCGGAAACTTCAATACGGTGAGGTAGTAGCTCGTCTAGACAGGATTGCGACCGTTCTCGTAAGTGATCAATGAGACTAAACACCACTCGATCTTTGTAGTCTTGCCAAATTTGAAGCAACTGCTCTTCAACCTCCCGGATGGTGTTTTGGCTCAATACGGAGCATGATAGTTTAATCGTTGGTGGTTTCGAATCAGGGTATCCACCTGGTAAATTGAACTGTAGCTGAATAGGCGGCAAAAACTTGACCTTCTTAGATGCCAATAGTGATTCGCGTCCCTCTGCTCCTCTTTGAATCAAAGTTACAGACTTTTCCTCATCCACTTGCAATGGCAACTCTATGGACCCTGCAAGCTTGGTGTAGTCAACTTTTAGTTTATCAAAGATGAGAGAGCACGACTGTAGCTCTTGTACATTTGGGTCTTCGGAAAATTCCATATCATCGTCCATACTCAGTTGGTTCTTTACTCCGAAATGAGTCAAATCAAAAAAAAAAAAAGAAAAAAGAAAAAAGAAAAAAACAAAAAACAAAACAGCTTCCTTCAAATACATTGCATCATCCATCCCCACGTACACTCTTAATGGACGCCTTTTCCAAAAGGGTGAAAACTTTTGACGCGTTCCCA